TACTCCTGTACGTTTGTAGCTACCAATTAGTAGTCATAATTAGCGGTTCATTTTTCAGGACTGGTCCTGAAGTCGCGTATGGTTGTCAGTTATTACACACAAAGTAAGCAAACCTGCTCTATACGCACCATCCATGCTGCGATTTGTGACTAGAACTAATTTAAAACAGTAGATATTTCTTGTAATTGCGTGGTAATTCGCAATTAAAGTTTTCAAGCCCAATGAAGTTATTTGCGTGTTCACCGGTTGTTATTTAGTGGAACGATCGCTCACCTCTAACAATCTCGTGGCGACCTGTTTTCCGGAATATTTTTAGGAGTTTGTCTTGCCACCGTTTCTTCTCTGAATGTCTGCCGATCGATTGAAATGTTATCATGTCAAAAGTACCTAGTTGCAGATTCATTAAATAATATTTAATTATATTAAATAATATTAACGGAAGATTGCAAATTACGGTACAACCTCCCGCGCCTGGTAAGCAAATATCTTACTTTGGAGGCTGTTTGATTTCCATTCTCTCAATTCCTTGAAATTTTAACCTTGACTTTTGTCATCGTTGGGAATTACTAGCTAAAGATGCATGGTGAGTTTTACCTTCCTAATCACTATTTCTGACGTAGAAAATTCAATTATAATAATTTAAGATCATCTAGTAAAAAACAAATTCATTGATGATAGTACTTAGGCCAATTTTCTTTTGAGTTTTAAATCTCGGTCCAACGATTACATTTTAAGAACTAGCAAAATGCAAGTGACTGTATACGTTTGCATTTGATGTTATGTAAAAGTTACATAGATTTCTATGTGCAGCCAATGAATGGGTGCTGAAACAATCCGCAACTTTATTTTAACTGTTCTATTGTTTTACTTTATGTACCATGTATCCACGACAACTGGCCTTAAAACCTATTAAATATTTTTTTCCTTATTTGTTTCAAATTATTCTTAAAATATTAGTATTCTAGTTATTCTAGTTTGTAAGTTAAATTATTATTCTAGTTTGTAATATTAGTAGTTTCCGTCTTTAATATAAGAGAAATTAAAAATATTCTATATTTAATTAAATACTACGAGTACTACTGCTCCCCGCAGTGTTAATCGCTGTGCCCATGGTCCGGCGAGAACAATACATTTTTCGGGATATTTTTTTGTTTGACGTGAAGAAATAACAAACTTCAGACACACACACAAACTTTATAATGTTAGTGTGATTAAATTTTGGCCCAGAACCACGTATCCAGTAACAGTTATTATGTCAGCTATATAAATCGTGGACATATTTTAGTGGCAGTTTACAAAAGTGTGTCGTACATATCAATGAAGATCACGTGTTGTGTCATGTTGTATACATTATTTGTAACTGTGTTTTATCTCTTTGTGTTCTAAATTACTGAGTTCTCTACGTGGAGCATGACTATAAAATCCAATGTTGGAAAAAATATTTATTCGTTCTGATTGTTTGTATCTTAGGAACTTTGTTTGGCATATTTGTTAGAGCCCGTACCCAGGCTTAGTTAATTTAAAGTAAGATAGTTACTCTACTAATCTTAAATGATATATATAAAAATTGACTGCACGGATGGCGTAGTGGTTTAAGCGGTCGCCACGCTGCTTCCTACTACGCTGAGTGTTGTGGGTTCGATCCCCACATGAGACAACACGTGTCGTGTAATGTATGTTTAAAAAAATTGCATCTGTAGATAAGTATAGGTAAAGAAGATTGTGTAACAATGTGGAAATTGTTAGAAATCATGATTAAATTTATGACACTAAGGGGAGGAGGAGACACCTCTCCTCCAAGATTTGTGTAATGAGCACGATCATTTGTTCTGAGTCTGAGGCTGAAATTTATAAAGCGTACTTAGACTTTGCTCAGACTTTGCTTACGCTAAACTTACCTAAGTTCCTGCTCAGTGTAATCTTAGCATTCGAATTTATAGTCCTCTTGGGCTAAGAATTTACTGAGTGTATGCTAAGCAAGAGCTCAGGAAAAATTTTTAAACGTTTCGATTTGCATAGCATATTAATTTAAATTCTTGGTATTTCAAAAATATATTATTTTTAAAATAGCTGTAATAACCTAAAATATTAGTAATCTTATAAATTTTATCATATTATTGTATTTCAATCAATTAACACCTTTAGTTTGCATTTATTTTAAGTGATAAAAGGCAAAAATAACACATGTACAAGTAAAACAAAACGTACGTATATTTGACTTGTCAAATGTCATAACAATATTTGAGGTTGTCTCGTCTCGAGTTCATTCGCAAATATATCAATTTCTTGTATTAACTTTTTATCTTGACCCTGGCACACCCTTACGGACTTCTGTTACAACGCTTTCGAACTAGATTACGGCTTTTCTTCCTGGACAATCGAACCATCTTTTCACATTGACTCTGGCATATTAATCGTAAGTAATCGCTAAGTCATGGATTTTGGTGACTTAGACTATGCTAAGCATTTGCTCAGCTTGAGCTAAGCATTATGACTATAAATTTCAACGCACACTTAACTCGTGAGGTAAGTCTGTGCAAAGTCTAAGTACGCTTTATAAATTTCAGCCTGAGTGTAATTTATCTACAATATGTATGTATTTACAAATATCAACAGTCTATTTGCCATAGTACAGGCTCTGACAAGTTTGAGATCAGACAGCCGTGTGTGAGATGTGTGCGGTTATTATTATTATTATAAGGACCACTTATAACGTGGTTTCCAGTTTTCGCAGTCTATCTTCGTAGGCGGACATCCTCGTTTACTAACTATATACATACATATCAGATCTACTATATTTCACATTTAACTGCAATATCGTCAAAGCAATAAGGGACTCGTCTACTCCGAATTTATTTGTACTTCTATTAATACATTTTGACAAATATGAACATGTTTATACCACGATAATACATCGCTTAACTTATTGGACTCCTCACGAATCAGGAATATAAAGCGGTGAAGACGTATGTTTTTTGTATTCAACACGAGCAGTTTTTTTTTACATATGACTTTTGTGGACATCATACGCTCCATGAATGATTCACCATAATGCCTAGGTTCCTTTTTTTACGTATGTACATAGAATCATTCCCTTTAAATACAAAATATGGTTTATGATTTTGTTCCTGCAAATAGTCTTCTTTCTTCTTCTTTTACTTCAAAATTTTTCTCAAATTCAGTTGTGCGGATATTTTCATTAGTATGAAAAAAAAACTTGCAACTAAAAATTTAATTTCATAAATTTCAAGGAATTTACCTCTTCAGTTATTCAAGCAGATCCAATCACCAACGGTCCTATTTCGATATGGATCTTGTATGGTATTTGTAGTAGTTAACATAAATAAATAATATTTAGGTATTTTGCTCACGTGTAAACCTCATGTGTGTTTACACATAAGGTGTATAAGTCCTCTTTTCTTCACGGTGGCGTGCGTAAGTTGCCTCGTGACCTTTTGGTCGGCAACTGAACGAATACTACCTCGACCTATGTGTCTTATATGTGTGTATGTATACGTTTTAAACTTACGAAAACATGTCACTGTCTTTAAGTTATTTGGTTTTCATAACCTCAAATAATAAAACAATATTTTATATGGTATGACTAGTTGACCCGCCCAACTTCGTCTGCGTCAAGAGCAAGAAATTTTACACGCTTTTGTAACATTTGATGTTCGGCTCCTATTGGTCGTAGTGTGGATGAACTTACATTACTGGTGTTGTTAGATTGACTAAGGGCATATATATGTATCACGTCATTGAGCTCTGGCTTCTGTCTGCCAGGTAGTGGTAAATTTCATAATATTAATATATTTTGTATTAGGTTATGCAGTTCTTATACTACAATATTATCTGTGAGGATTGGTTCGAATGATAGTGACGTTATTAGTACATATCCGTGTCAACGAACTTGAATTTATGTATATAAAATGTTTATTCTTTTTTTACATACTGTAACAATATATTATAATACGTATAGAAAACTTTCTACTCGTAGGTGCCTCGTCAGAGGGTTGGCAACCATTCAACATTGTAACTTTCTCATCTTCTTGACGACAGACTTGTCATCGAGGAGTTCATTGGAGCATTGACCAGCATATTTGTGCCAAATGTGGTTTAAATTAGCAGACCTGTTAGATTTGTTTTCCTACTTATATTTATAAAGCTAACGCGGCAAACGTTTCATATAAATTATCAAAAATATCAAATCGCGATTAAAAATGATTAGTGGGGGTAGAAGGGTAAAACATACTTTACGACCTATTCTCATAGCCACCGAATATACAAATAAATATCATTAAAATTGGTCGAGCCACCAATATTGTGACACGAAATATTTTTGTTAGTTTCATCCACAGCTATGTGACTCACTTTTATATTTGATTACTTATACCGGTACAGATGTTCATGGTTGCGCAATTAACTCATTAAATTTGCTTCATAGCAGCAGCACAATTTGTCAGATTGAAAAATGAATGCTGTGAATCGTAATGGATTTCTCCTCAAGTCTGTTTATAAGTGGCCTTGATTGTGTTGCAAGTCAAGTTCAAGACCAGATCTGGTCTAAGCATTACTTTCTAAGCCACTATAATACTTTTTTTATTTTTTACTATACCCGGCATGCATTGTCACGTAAAGTATAAAGAAATATCGAAAAAAAAAGATCATTTATGTATAGATTTTTTAGGAAAGCAGCTGCCCCTAGAATACCCTAACAAAGTTTCAGCACAATCAGATTAATGGTTCGCAACGCACAGAGGACAAACATACGAACATTGATTTTATTGTTTATATATAAATATATCTGCCTAATTAGTTCACTAAACACTGAAATAGTGGTTGTTCAAGTACTCAAACATCACACGAATTCTAACTACTTTTCCAGTTCGACGTTAAATTATGTACTTAGTCATGTAAAATTATATGAAAAGCCGACCACTAACTCGTCTAGCACTCCCTGGAGTAGTCGATCAACATTTACACAAAGTTGTTATTTCCAGGATCGCGTGTTGAACATCACAAGCCAGATAATGGACCAGTTGCTGGGTGACGAGCGCGTGGCGCGTGGCTTCCGCGTCAAATTCCCCGAGGACGTGTTACAAGACAATCTTGCAGGACAGCTTTGGTTCGGTGCTGAGGTTGGTATCTTCCACCAAATGCTTGCCTTCAAATCCGGTTTATCTAGATAAGTTGGAGGGAAAATATCGATGCCGGCTTTTAGACAGAAAACCATTTCTTCATTTTTTTTTTGGATTCAATTCCCGCCTTAGAATGTATCAAGTGTGGCGGGCACTCTACAAATAATCATGTAACAGACAAAAAGAATACCTAGACTCAAAACAACAATTTGTGGATCTCACAAAGTGTTGTCTCGTGTGAGGATTGAACCCACAACACAGAATATATATATCATGAAAGCGTGCCGTTAACGACCTTTATGGCATGAATAATGAATGATGAATTGCGATGTGTTGTTAATGATCAATTACTATAAGGTAATCTTAAGCGGTTTACTTTGGTAATTATTTGACCCTTAATGCTGCTGGTGGTTAAAATGTCAAAACAGTCAAAGCAAAACTTATTCTTTTCTGAGATCGGTTAAAGAAATTGCTTGATAATAAGTAAAAGTCGAAAAATATTTTCATAAACACCTATCATCAACATGTCACTTTCACACGTTTAGATTATTCTACATTTATACCTACATTTTGTGTGAAAATAATAAACAATTGATAACAGAATATTATCATATGATGATATGATATGATAATGTTTGTCATGTATTAAGCACTTTCGTTTAAAATTTGTCGAAAAGCGAGGTCATTTTTTATTACCTTAATGACCTTTTTCAAGTCTCTACTTCGTATCTAAAACTGTAGTTCCTTTAAAGTTGTGGAGGACAAGAACTTTCACCGAACATAGGCAAAATCCCTAGATTAATCCCTAGACAAATTGTGGTTTGCTCTAAATAGGAACATAAAATTACTGCAAATTAACACTAATTACTAAACAATTTTACAAATTCTTATGAATCATAAGCCATGACCAAAAAAAATATCTGATGTTTTTCAATGATATTTAATTATATTAGCCATTTAGTTCAACACTGGAAGACCTTATGTGCAATGACTTGTACTACACTACTTACTGTTTTTACTTGTACACCCGATTACTTGTTCACACTTATAATAAAAGTATCATTATGCCTTCTGTACTCCTCACAAAGATTAGATACGCAAAACTTGATCGATTGAGAACTTAGTACTTACAGATCTCGTAACAAGAAAACAAACTTATAACATTCGCGTTTATGATATTAAAAAAATATATAAAAATGGAAAGATCGGTCCTTTTTGGGAGAACTGAATTGATTTTTACGTGGTCGATACGATACGATATAACGGTACAAAATTTATCTGGTATTACTGTACTACGAGTAAGTGTGCAAAAAGGGTTTTCTATTCGTGAGTTTTGAATCACGAATGAGGGTACTGCAGATTTAGGCACGCCGTTATCGCGGCGGTAAGACTCGTTCTGGAGGATTAGCTCGAGAGGCATCACGGAACCCTCTCATACCGGTTGACGTAGGTGATCACCGAGAAAGGATGCTTCGGAGATCACCTTTGTCTGATCTGCAAGGAGTAAACGCCTGAGTGCCACCACTGCGATGGCCGGACCGTGGACACGGCGCTTCAGACGCTGGCAGAATGCCCGGCGTGGATGGAGCAGAGGCGTTGCCTCGTGGCGACCATCGGAGTGGGCATTATCTCGCTCTGTGAATGGTACGGAGCGAGAGTGGGTAGAACTCGTCTCCTTCTGCAAGCTAGTTGTGCTTGCAAAGAACATGGCGGAGCGGGACCCCCAAACCCGGGAAGAGGCCAGGTATCGCAGTCGACTTAGGCGACGGAGGTCGCAAAACGAGCTCCGTACTCCATAAGCGCATGCCTGGGGGTGGCAGGTGAGGCCATCTGTCACCCTAGCAGAAGCAGGCCGGGGTGGTGGCGACTAAACATAAAAAAAAACAACCGAATTGACAACCTCCTCCTTCTTGAAGTCAGTTAAAAAATTCTAGTACTTTTCATACACCATCTCTCAAAACACTTGCATTTTAAAATGTCTTCTTAATTTAAATTCACGATTATAGTGTCTAGCCGCCGGTTCGTCAATAATGAACCGCGAAGAAGAATCAGCAGCGATGCGACCGCTCGCGAAGGCTCTCACTCGTAGTCTAGAGACCGTGCGCTCTTTACTCCGGGAGCAGTGCTTGAGACCTCGAGGTATGGCGCTATCGCAGCACGACGATATGTTGCACGAGAGCTTGAGAATATTTGACAGGTTAGCCAAAACTTATTTTTTTAAATGTTTGGGAATCTCTAGAGTAAATCATGTTGGGTCTGTGTGTTCATAAGCTGTGTAAATTATAATTGTCTGGAAAATTCTGCATTATTTGCCGCCACAACATTATTAAACTCACTTTTTTTTGTATACTTTATTTCATCCCATTTTATATTTAATTTTGTTTAAATCTTGGTTTAAACGTCACTCAGTTGACTCACAGTTTGAGGTACAGGTTCACTAAACAATATAAATTTCTTAAAATTAGTGACTTTCCCTTCTTATTTAATTTTCCTTTCACATTAAACTTCAAATTTTCATAGCTAATTCATAAAATGTTTTCGCGTTTAAATATTTCTTATTTTGGTACCATATCACATCCTTACAAATCCTAATATCGCGATGTAGAACTTAACAAACATTTGACAACGCCATCTAGCGCGTGTACTATCTTAGACTTGGCATGAGCTTGAACAAAAACATTTAGTAAATTCTGTATTCGTGCCCTAAAGTGACTAGTATTCTGATAGTAATTCACAAATTAAATATATATTTTATTACATTATTTCAGGCTGTTTGCGGAATTCGAGCTGTGTTACGTTAGCGCCATGGTAAACGTGAAAACACCGCACGAGTTCGAAGCTCAACAACTCATTTGCGTGCTATTCTCCGAGAGTCTGCGTAGAGCGCTAAAACAAAATTTACTCACTCAGGAACAGGTCAGTATTTAAAAATAAAAAATGTCGAAGGAGTAGCTGCATATTTTTGTTATGTAAGTGACATCTTGTGAAATAATAGGTAAATATAAAATTACGTCTCTATGAGACCTCATCAAGTATTTTTATGATCGTAGGTGATCATAGTGTTTTATGAAGTCCATAATTATAAAGCTCTGTGGTTGTCTAATTAAACACAGGGAATATCCCACCACCCTGAATTAAAGTAATTTCATTCCGAAATCAAGTACCTATATATTATTAGTAGATTTCATATTATTGTCAAATCTGTTTGGTTGTCGTTTTTAATTGTGTAATATAACACTATAACTGAATTCTAAAAGGTTTTTATACGTATTTTTTGTGTCTGACATGATGTTCATTACGAATTTTCTTCATTTGTTGTGGTAGTAGGTAGTAGTCGTATTGTACTCTTATAGTAGATAGTTTTATAAACGATTAAGTTTAATTTATATAATACACTTTAGAAAGCGGTTTTAATTGATTGCACCTAAAAAGATTAGATGCTTAAATGAAAGCATACTCTAGATACACATTTTATTGAAAATAGTCATTAAATTGTAAAATTGAGAAAATAAAGTGACAAAATACATTATCGCTTTAATTAATAGTTGCAACATTTGTTTTAGGTGGACTCGTATGACCCCGCTTTGATGTTCGCCGTCCCCCGCCTGGCTATTGTCAGTGGACTTCTGATATACTCAAGCGGACCCCTCAGCATCGATAAGCCGCCAGGTAATTATAAATTCTCGTAATATCATTGTCAATATCATCCTTGAATTTCCTTTGTGACGACAGCAAAAGTGCCTCTGAGTGTTCCTAAACTACTCATCTTCCAAATGTTCTTAATTCAAAAGCTAAAATTAAGTTTTTAAAAATTGCTAAAATAACTTAGCCTAGCTGTTTCTAAACGTACGTCTTTCAAGCTGTAAAACTCGTAAATGAGTTATATTCTACTACTCATTAACCGTAAAGGTCCACCAGGAACCAACCAGGAAACTCATGCTGCAACACAAATAGGCCGGCTTGTCCGGGTGACACGGCCTCTCAGAAAACCAGTGTTAAGGAATTCGTTCGTAGCTTTTCATTGAGTGAATGAGATTACCGGAACCCAAACCTCCTTTCTGTCTGATCCTAGTGAGGAGAAAGGGGGGGGGGGGGCTCAAAAGAACAGTTATGAATCTTGAGTTGCAGTAAAAAAAAGGAATTAGGAATTTGCCTTTGTTCCTCATGGTCCTTCATACCTCATGGTCATACTAATTCTAAGCACATGTTATAAAAACTTACTTCTTATTATAGAGGAGATGTCGGACATGTTCCGTCCGTTCCGCACGTTGTTGCACAAGATCCGCTCGCTGCTGTGGACGCTGGACCGACGCGAGCTCGTGGCCTTGGAGCGCCTGCTGTGCACCAACGAGGACATCTCCAACCTCGCAACGCTGGACCTGCCTGTTGGTGTGTACTGCACACGTGTTTATGTTCAAAATAAATTTATAAACCTTATTTTAAAGAAATTATTAGGAGGCAATAACGTCTTTCTCAATAGCTTTGTGATACCTGTGACTTACAGGACCTACAGGCTGTAAGTAAGGTACCAACAAAACTGTTATAATCCCTACTAATGTTTTTAATGCGAAACTCTTATCTGTCTGTCTGTTACGCTTTCACGACTAAACTACTAGACTAATGTTAATGAAATGGCAATAAGATACTTTTTACCACGATAACAACATATACGCGGGCGGAGCTACGGGCAAAAGCTAGTAGCAAATATAGCAGTAACACTTACGTTTACAGATCCAGAATCCTCAAACGACTGGTCATGTCCGTATCCGGACATAGGAGAGTTCGTGACGAGGTTCTATGCCGATCATGCGCACTGCCGCGAACTGTACTCACAACAAAGGTAACTAATTGTACTTGTACAAACTAAAAAACTTTGACATTATAAATGGCGCAATATTTTAAGTGACTGTTAGTAAAATATGCACACTGTGAGACAATGGTTAGCAGCCATCATTTTATCCTTATTGATACAATGTGTCGCTCAAATATTATACACCTTCCTACACAGGACTAATCTACTGCAGGCAAATAATAGCATTATAGTCCATTCACGTTAAGAAACCTTCCGTACGAAACGATAATTTCTTTGAGCCTGATGCCAGAGGCGGGGCATGATCGATCGATTCGTCACTATTTTCTTATAACGAATGGACTATAGTTGTCTTGTCTTACTACTGACTAGTTTATGTCTGAAAATTTTATTAATAAACTTTAACTATAAAGTATTTAACAAACTTTTTTATGCAATAAGTTAATTTATGGTTGTCACTTAAATTTGCGACTTGTCATACTGGTCGAAGCATAATCATTCATCATCAGTTAATAGACACAGTACACACACAAAATACAATAGAAGCCTTTGAAGATACGTAAAACACTTTTATTTTACAGTTCCAGTGAACCAGTAATAACAGACGGCGATTATCTTCCTGACAACATAGAAGTAATGACACCAATTATCGACGGCCTACGGCGTTTGAGCGAAGGCATCGAAGATATCGACGCTCAGGATTCGGAACATGAAACAATCAAAACGTCATCACGACACTATTCCGACACTACAAGCACAGACACATTCCAAACAACCGACAGTAGAGATTACATCGAAAGATCTCGAAAAACAAGTAAAACTGAAACAAATAACGACCTGTCTTCGCTAAGAAATCTATCTACAAACGGTCTTATGATGTTTGATCCTTTAGTCATCAACGCTGTACCCTCGACCGACGCTAACAGGCAGCTCCCCGACCACGACCTCGTGACGTCACTCAACGATCAGGTTACAGAAATTGCCGATCGGTTATCTTCCATCGCCACTAGTGACGTTGAAATCATAGACCACAACCAAATGCACTCTTTCTCCACCAATGACGTACCAACATTAATAGCGACTGATGAAACTGAAGCATTCGGCTTCTCTGGCCCAAGAAACGAACAACTAAGTTGTATGCCATCAACGAGTCATGGGTATTTAATACCTAACGCTATAAGTCACGAACCTGCCGTCTTGTCGTCCCTATCACACAACAGCTCGGCCGTATTCAACCAGGACGAGGAATCTGGCAACGATATTAACGGTGCAATACTAAATGCTGATCTCCCACTTATAATTCCCGATAATATTGATGCTGATATTGTAAATACAAATATTTCTATAGCTAACGCTAACTTAAGTTCTCTCCTGCTGACCAATGAGGAATATAGTAGTTATGTAGAAAACGAAAATGCCGATGGTGACAACACGAGTTTCCATTCGGCTAAAATGACTATAGAAAGAGAAGACGAAAGGGTTAAGTTTATGTTAGGGTATGAAAGTGACCACGAATCCCCGGTAGACTCGGGCGTCAGTACTGAAAATACTAGTTTAGATAGATCGCCCGACACCGAGGGTAAAGACATTAAAGAGTTAAAAGACAATCATTTCATGCAACAAAACAGGGTATTAAAAAGTCCAGAGTCCGAAGCAGACGTCAGTAAACACGCCAAAAATACTTTAGAGAGTTCCTTTTCCGATGTAAATAATGAAACTGTAAATATTTCTTATGTAGAAGATGAGAGTAGCAAAAATGAGGCGGGGTCTTCTTCAAGTATAATGGATAAGGTTTTAAATAGGTTAAGTTCTGACGAGGAAGGGTTGAACGAAGCTTCCAATGAGCATGAAGCGCGGCGGGTGTTGCAAGACTGGGGAGCGAATGTGGGAGATGATGAATATAGAACGATAGATGAAGTGATTACCGAGTTGAGAAGGCATAGAGAAGCGGATAAGAAGATTAGTTCGCTAGTAACAGAAGACAATAATGTTAGTTCTAACGCTGATGTTGGGCCGAGCACTCAGACTAGTAGCCGACCCAAGAAGTCGAGGAAGTCTGCCACTAAAAGCAAAAAGAAAAAGAGTAAAATTTGGTCGCCTAGTATGGTGATATTAGATAACCGGTCGATACAAAACCAGAATAGTCCACTTCGATTGAACTTGGACCATTTTGTTGATGAAGGGTAAGTTTATTATATTATTATTACAGCTATGACACGTGATCATTGAGTAGTATGAAAAGTGCATTGTAGCAATACAGTTTAAAAAATTAAAAAATACGTAACCGTTATTATACCCCCACTTCCTTAAGGCTTCAATGAAGATGTAGAAAATATTGTTTTCAGAAGAAGCAGGTGTAGTACATCAGAATGTGCAGACGATGAACAGATAGCTTTAGCGTTGCAAGCACAGGAGCTTGCGGCGAGACACCATGCAAGGGGCAAGTTTAAGTGAGTAGTGAATACAATAATTATATTTGGTAATATGTATAAGATTTAGTATGTGTAATGTATATAAGATAAAATGTAACAATAAACCTGCTATGTATAATAAATCCATAGATGATTGCAGTAAGCTCATATAGTTGTTTATTGCATAAGTTTTTATAGGCCATCTAATCTAAGAGGTACCGTTTGACGTTTCATACTTTTCAAGACGAAACATCTTTGTATAGGCGTACTCACACAATTTCAATAACTTTTTCTGTAAAACCTTGGAATTATGAAGCAATTATTATTTTATCTTTGAAATCTTTGAAACAAAGCACAATAAAAAAATTCATACACAAAAGTTCCTTTTATCAAACTTCGTTTCAAAGTCACGTAGTCTTTTCCTTTACCGTAGTGTTGAGGCTCTTCAAATTCACTTGATTACGAATAATCGTCGAGTTTATTAATAACGAGTTATTTTCAATCCCGGCGTAATACTCGTACTTACTTAAAATTCATCTGACATACAACTGTCAACGGAAACGCATAATTAGAATAAAAATTACGTATGTCAGTTAATGTATTTTAAACAAATCTTTGTAAGCAAAATCGCTAGTGTCCAAGTCTAGTGTATTATACTATTACACGGGCTTTATAGTAACATACATAAATCTGTAAAACTGTAATCGATTAGTACATACTAAGAAATGATACACGCATAAAGGACCACTCTTGAGTCTAAATGCGGAAACCGAAGCCCACAATCTATATCTCTTAAGAATCAGATATTGTAATAACCGATTTCTTTGACCCCCATCGCTATACTTCGATCTGTCACAACTGTCAAAAGGTACCTCTTAGATTAGATAGATTATAAATGGTGTATATAGCAGAGAATACAATGGAAAAACACTGCTGTACGTAAGTCAGTTATGAGTCATTAAAGAAAGTTACTCACTAGCTCAATTTGATTTGACCGCTCTTTAAATGTGTTCTTTTTGCTTGTCTTACAGGTCAAGTGAAGACCTCATCCATCGTCTGTTCGTATGTATCGCGGGCGTTGCTGACCAGTTGCAAACGAACTTCGCAGCGGATCTACGAAACATTCTTAAGTCCGTTTTTCTTATGAATCAGTCATGCGATCCGGAACCGGAACCGCAACCGCAGCCCGAGAAGATACCGGCGACCATCGAGTACGAACCGACCGAAGATCAGGTTATACAGAATGGTATGTATGTTTACCTTCTTAAGAGAATTCAAAAAGAAGGTTATTAATGTAAAATAAAAGCATTAATATATTTGATGTATTTATTTCACTTCTTTGAAGATACTTTATTTAAAAGGTAATATTTGCTTAAATTCTATTATATTTTATCTTCTGAGTTTCGTAACTCTTAATACAATGTTAAGGAGAATAGTACCATGACCTGCTCCGTTATAGTTTCTTAGTTCCACATGTTTGTTTTATTAGTGAAATATGTGTTTGACTTTCATATGCTATGTATGTTTTGTATCAAGAAGACATTTTGTCTTTTTCCTCTAACTTCTATTTAAAAAAAAAATATCACGCTAGGTAGTGATGGTCAATACTCATTCCCATTCTGTTTTCCCAATCAATAGAGTAACAACATTCATTATGTTTCTAAAAAGAGATCAGTGACTGTTCTCGAAAGAGTTTTTTTCCAAAATGTATATTTTACTCTGGGGCTTCTATTTTTTAAATTTGATTTTACATTTTTTACTTCTTTCTTGATTGCAGGCAGCTCATTTGACAGTGTTTATTCAGCAGAAGAAGTATACGCGGACAGCACCTCAGATTCTACGTCGAACGAGAGCGGTCGTGTGGCGCGTCGCAACACGGTCAACGCGACCGACCGCCCCGACCGACACGAGCGTGCCGAAGAGACGGGCAGTGACGAGCGGAGGAAGTCTATCGACACCTCCGTCAACATACAAGCGTCTGTGTCCACGGGGGATCTCACTTATAGGTACTGTATTTTATATTTTAAAATGTAGTGCTGTACTACATTTTTTCGGGATAAAAGTTTGTGTTAATCCAAGGTTTCAGCTATATTCATACCCAATTTTATCAAAATTGGTCCAACCTTTTGAGCGTGAAGATGTAACAAACATACAAATACATTCACAAATTTTCGCATAATATTAGTGTGATGGATTGTTTTAAAGTGTTAGAAGGAAGGCTTGTATTGTGATGTGTTCGATATTAGTATCGTACCAGCAGGTCAACAGTAAAAAGAATTGCTGTATAAAGTTTATGATGAAAAAAGCTGTCTTAAGTTACGGGTTTTTTGGAATTTTATTATTATTCATCCCTAACTTTACATGAGATTACAGTTTCTGTGTACTAAAACATATCCATTGTGCGTCCAGAGAGGCTGAGCGGTCTGAGCGGTCGGAGCGGTGTGAGCGGCCGGAGCGGCTGCCCGAGTGGGTGCCGGACATCGCGGCGCCGGCCTGCATGCGCTGCGCCGCGCCCTTCACGGCCTTCCGCCGCCGCCACCACTGCCGCAACTGTGGTACGACCACTCCCATACCTCCACACTTCACGGGCCTGTCGGTCCAGTACTTCCATTCCCACCCGGGACAAATAATTCTGATTACAGCACGTCGTTTGTTCTGTGTCTGGGTGTAATTTATCTATAACATGTATGTATTTAGAAATATATGTGTGTTTATCGGCAGTCTGGTTACCATGGTACAGTCACTGCCTAGTTTGCGATTAGAGAGATATGTCAAGTTTTATTATTATTAACACCCTACTCAGACACCGAGAGCTGAGGGCTATCGGATTCCGTTTGACGCTAACTCTTTACTATGACACGAAACTACAATATCCTAATATTATCGACGAACAATGTATTTTGTTAAAATCTGACTAAAAATATACTTACTGTGTACTTTAAAGCGAAAACATATGCATTATAGAAGGATTACGAGTTTTAAAGTCTGGCTTTGTACGTAAATATTTATTTAGTTATTAATTTTTACTAAATTAAAATCAAAAATCTCTTATGTTACAGGCAAAGTATTCTGCGCGTCTTGCAGTTCTAACTCGATACCTCTGCCGCGCTACGGTCAGCTGAAACCCGTTCGAGTGTGCGACGAGTGTTTCCGCTCTATCGCTAACAATTGCCGAAGGCCGCAAACGTCTCAGCAGCACCGGTGAAATTGTAAAAGTCCGTGTCGGAAATATCGTATACCTGTTGTGATATTGACTGTTTTGTTACATATTAATAACGATTATAAGATATCATTTATACCCATATTGAGTCCGAATTCGCAGACGCCATGTTTAAAACGTTTCTGTACATTTCTGGTTGAACTAAAAATTTGTTATTCGATTGTATTGTGATAAAAACCTAATTATTATTAGTTATCAGAACCAACATTTATTCGAATATATATATATATATATAATATTATATAAAGATAAGAGAGTAAGGTATATTTACTTAGTTTTACGGATTCGTAAAGAAATACTTTAGAATGTGAGAGAGGTTTTGGAGTGGATTAAATATTGGTACTTCGGCAGATTAAAAATAATTAGGTTTTGTAACGTCAATGTACGATTGAATAAATATTTTTTGGTCAAACCAACAAAATTTAACAAGATTTTAATCTAAGATAAAGAAATTCTTAATTATAAATGTACAGGAACCCAATGTTTATCGATAATGCTTTAGTGTTTTGTATACAATATTAAAAAATATGTAAATACCTCAAATACCTTATAACTGGTCAAATTGGCGTCTTTTAGTGTAACATATTTGAATACTATACCGAAACTCATGAGTTGTATTCCCGTTTATCAAAAATATAAGGTTTAAGTCATGTGTGTTTCGGAACTATCAGGACTATTTTCGAACCCTATTAGGGCCCTTTTTCGAGATGTGAGGCGCCCTACCACGTCACCCTCTGGATTAAATCCTCATATTTTTAATAAGTAGTCTATACTCAACATTGCGCTCCTTAAGCCATTAATTACTGAAAGATTTTTATGTAAACTATTTAAGTCATTTTATTAATAATAACATTTGATGAACGAATTAAATGAAGCAGAAATCACATGCGTGGAAATTAGGAGCAGTTCAATTAAATACTTAATCAACTGGAATTCAATTCTGTGCCTAATAATCATATCTCAAAAACCCCAAAATGCATCAAATCCATTGCAATATTAAACCACTTTAATTAGATGCAGGTGTCATAATATTGTCACTGAGTTTTGTTACGTATACTTGCCCATAATATGTAAGTCTAGTATTGATTGTGTTTACTTTTATTACGTCAATTCATATCATCAAAAATAACATATCGGCATAAGCCTTAACTTCCGCAAATTTCCAAGTCTTATGTAATACAAATTGTACAGAACTTTTTATATTACCATTCTTGAAATAAAAAAAACAAAATAAAATTTTGACTATTCTTTTATTCTAAAATATAAATCACTCTGAACGCCGCAAATTTATGTTAAAGTGAATTTCTCTGTTTAATTTAATTGAGAAGAAAACGATGAAATAGTTATCTCTAGCTCTAGCACTCTTTCATTTAATATGAAGGGCTTTATGGCAATCAAATATTATTTTTAGAGACGAAAGATTACATATATAAAGCAAGCAAAGATTGTTAGACAAGGTCAAAATTTAAAATTGTTTTTGTCAATTCAGTTTGAAAAGACTTCATTACTATGGAGTTAAATAAAAAGCGCTTCTACTGTTTATATCTGATTTTTATCTATCTCAATAGAATTTTTATTTTCGTGTAAATTTAAGTTCACACAATCAGCATTGGATGAACTTAGTTAAGATCTAAGTAAGCCTTATTTTACCAGCCTGCACAAAAGCAACCTTTTATATAAATCCACCTAGTATCCATTTGTGATCATTAAAAAAAGCTTTTCTGTGCAATGACCTTGCCGAAATGTGTTCTACATTCAAACCTTTATATGCGATTTAAACGTCCATTACGGTGTTTTTAGTAAATACCAACGTGATATCGAAATATTCCATACTTTTTTTTTACTTATTTAGACGCAACATTGTTAAAACAGTGTAAGTAAACAAAAAAAATGTAAAGTTTATTTCATATTGACTGATAAATTTTTGTGTAAGGAGTTTCCATGTTTGTTAGGTAGCTCTCTAAATAAAAATGTTGTTGCCGAGTAATTTTGAAACTAATTGTTGTTTGCATACGCTAATTGTAATACTTATATGTCAATACGGATAGATAATATATGTATATATTTTTGAAAACATTATTTGTACTTACAGTGGCCCTTGTATATATGTATGTCTAAATGCCTCGTTTAAACACATGTCAGCTTTGTGATTAATACAAATTTCAAGATGTATCTTATCTTGAAGTGCTTGTTTAAAAACTCTAATTTTGCCTTTGTTTGTATTATCGAAAATATAACATAATAAAAAAAGCTATGTAATAAGAAACAGTTCGATTTAATTCTTTTTTTTATTAATCATTATCGCAAACATACTATGTTGTAAGCGAGTGAAACGTTGACCATTTTGAGCGCCAATATCTAATATATTTTTTTAATGTAAAAGACTTTTGTATACCAACTCACCAGAGGGAGTGGCGATGAAGGCATATGGTATATATCTTATAAAAGAAAGTTATTTATTGACTCTACCATAAATTGTCTCCTTACCTTTATAACTGCCAAAGGATATTGTGGTACAGACCCACAGTATAAAATATCCTTCGCAGTTATGACATATTCATGTAATCTCACTTGCAAGCTGAATTGATTTTAATTCTTAAAATAAAACAGGTCATTTAATCAAACATATTTGCAAGAGAGCGTCCTACTTGTATTCAACTTATAATCTTTGGCGTCTGCAAACAACCTATTACCGCCCCAAAATAAATAAATAAAATATTTTTCCCTTGTTATATAATAGTTAGGAATATTCGAGAAGTATATACAGTATGTTACCGAATGGTGTGTCAAGTATTGTGTGTAGCTAAAAAATAGTTAAGCTCAATAATAGTAGAATTTGAAAATGTGCAAATACACCAGGTATATGCATTTCCTAGTGTAAGTGTATTTGCAGAATATTTTCAAAAAAGTCCATCTATGAAAATATGCATATTTTTATACTAAGTAGACGTACGTACGATTGATGTTATTTTAGACACACCTTACAAAATATTAGCTTTATAACCTACATTTTTAAGTTTAATTTACAAGTTTCAAAATAAGATTCTGTTTTGTTTTTTTTTTATTGCGGAAGTATTCGCAGGGTATGCTACACAGCCCTACAGTATGACCACACCTTTCCGTAACACTGTAAATTTAATTTTGGTAATTATACTTTATACGACGAAATATATTCCTTAGTATGGGGTTTTAGTGGTACGATACAAATAAAATCGGCCGCTATATTTCGTTGTAGCATGTTACTATTAATCTACGACTATAAATAATAACAAGAAAATGTTAAAAAGATTCCATAATTTTTATATCCAACACATTAAGATTTATTTTAACGATTAAGAATAGTGTTGAATGTTTGTAAATTTTGTAAAGGTAATGAGTGTACCGTCTTACCCTATAGTGTTTTGTATATTTTAAAAGGTGGAAATAATATAGATATTTTCAAAAATAAATGTTTTAAGTGATAGCTTAGTTATAAAGATTTTAATGTGTAAATAAATTCGTTATTAGCTAATAATAGTTTTATTATAAGCCTGATCATATTATGTGTGTGTAGATTTGTTGGTCTTTACTTCAACTAAGTATGATATTGTTTCAATTCATTAAGTTTATGTTGCTTTTTATCACCTTAAAATGAACGACTTATACAGGATAGCTTGCCTTTAACCTTTGGTATGTGCGAGCGTGCCCCGCGTAAAGTATGCGGTGTGCGGGATTTAAGCGTGTTACACACAACGCAGATACTGAAATATTCTTATCTTAAGATGCAACCTGCAATCATACGATGGAGATATATGACTTGAGTAGCTTAGCATACCAAGCAATATTCAATATTAGCCTTAGATACTACTGGGTTTTTATGTTATGATATGAAATTTATAGTAACAAAATAACTTAATATTTTGAAATCATTGTCTGATGAGCTGTCAAATAAATTGATTTAGTCCTTCAACCTAATTATTGTTTATTTGCTACAGATTTGTTTTGTGAGGTCTTCATTTATTTAGATTTTTTAATGTTGATCAAAGCACCTAAGGCTGGTAGTTACACTACCACATAAAGCCCATATCAAAAAAAATACAAAAAAATTATTATAATCTGACATTGTGTACTAGTTTGGTGGACAAATATTATACTCTTTTTTCTTGGTGACGGCGAGGAAAATCCCTTCCGATCTCCGGCTCCTTGGGGATACAGGAGCCAAGAATATGTGGTGTTGCCTCGACGACCTTGAGGAGCCTCCATAAACAGTTCTCCCACTTCATTTATAGTAACAATTTACTTAGTCCTTTCCAGTCAGGGTTTCGACCACGCCATAGCACGGTGTCCGGTCTTCTTAAAGTAACTGGCGACATTAAGGTGGGGATGGAGAATACTATGGTTACCACCGTAGTACTGGTAGATTTTTCTAACGCCTTTAATACCGTGAGCTCCTCCTTGGTGTCCTATCCCATTTCTCGGTCAAGTTGCTTCTGTGTGCCAGAAAGTCACAGGCTCGTTGCGGGCCCTCTATAGACTTAAGAACTTTCTTCCAGTGAAAACTAAGATAATGCTTGTTCAGACTCTGATATTCCCTATAATCGACTATGGTGATGTGTGCTACTTTGGACCTGAATGCAGATCTACTCAATAAGCTTGACCGCCTTCTCAATAATTGCCTTCGATTCGTTTTCAATTTACGCAAGCATCGCTTCCTTTTGAAGTGGCTTCCAATTCGCCAACGCAGAGAGACACGGGCATTAACTACCCTATATTCTTTACTCTTTTCTCCAAATGCTCTTTCTTACTTAACTAGTCAACTTCAATATTTAGGTGCAAACCACGCTGAAACCCTTAGATCTTGAAGCAACCTACTTCTTCACTGTCCCAATCCAATCACCGCACTGACTTCGTACATTCTACTTTTCGGGTACAATCTGTTCTGCTATGGAATGCGCTCCCTCTCGAGATCAGGATGACAAAAACTCGGCAAACCTTTAAATACCTGTTGCGGAAACATTTTTCAAACACCTTATCAGATCCATCTTATTTTTATTTTTTTTACTTTATCTTCTAGAATTTATTATGTGGATACATATATGTGTATATATAATATAATTATATGTATGTATAGGTGCATATGTATATATAAATACTTATGTATTGTATGTGTTAGTATTATTATCACTTATTGTATCTGTATTATTTATTAAAAATATTCTAATGTAATTAATATAAGTACTCGGGGTATATATAATAGTTTATACCAACTACCTCGATGGTGCAGTGGTAGCGTATGCGACTGCTGTGCTGAGGTCTCGGATTCGATTCCCGGGTCAGACTAAATGTTTGTATGATCTACAAATATTTGATTCGGAATTTGGGTGTTTTTTATATATAATGCGTATGTATTTACAAAAAAAAGTATATAAGAATCCTATCAGTCAATCTACCTTTCATCTAAAAGCTCTGCTGAGTTTGAAACTAGATGGCGTTGTGTGTCAGATGTCCGAAATATTATATTTCATATTTCTAGCGTCATAATCTTCACTGGTGATGGAAATTATTGCTACGTTTAAATAAAAATCATATGATGAAATAGATTGACACAGAGATTTTAACTGTGATAAATCACTGCTGTGATTTGGTCATATCATAAACAAAGATTAATGCAAATAAAACTTAAGCAAAAAAAATTATTGGTATATTGAATTTTCTTTTTATCAAAGACTACGAATTTTTTTTAAATTTATTTAGACGAGTCTCGTTAGCGTAATCATCACCGCAGTGATTTTATAGATTAGTCATAGGTGTGATATAGGTATTATACACGAATCATATGATTTGTCACAGCTGATTTGATTTTATGCCATCCCTACTCTTCATATTCGTCTACTATATAACATGCGTACATGTCATATACCTTATCTTTTCAGCACTATTTTATCCAAGTGATAAGTTCAGTTTTATAACTGAATATTGTACGAAGTGTTTTATAAAGTGTAACAAAATAGCCATGTCAATAATCATTCATAAAACAGGCCTCAGTCCGCCGGCTCGGGCTGTTTTGATCGTCGTGGATATACTTGGATTGAAAGCTGAAACCCGCGAGGTAAACCTACCGAAACGAGACCAGTACAAGCCCGATTATTTAAAAAAGAATCCTTTACATACAGTGCCTTTGTTGGAAGACGGCGACCTTGTGTTAGCTGACAGTCACGCCATAAATGCCTATTTGGTATCAGCGTACGGGACTGGTGAGCAATCGAAACTGTATCCTACTGATTTAGCTGCAAGGTCGATAGTAGATCAACGCTTGTATTTCGATGCTACCATACTCTTTCAGCGCTTGAGAACTGTTGTGAAGAGCAGAACACGCCCTACCCAAGACCAAGAAAATGACATTTACGAAGCATACAGTTTTACCGAGAAATATCTGGAAGATACGCCTTATATGGCAGGTAATTATTTGACATTAGCTGATATATCCTGTGTGGCAACACTGTCTACACTGGATTGTATTGTTCCGATTGGCAAGAACTACGTAAAGTTAAACGATTGGTGGAATCGATTGAAAAGAGAAAGTTGGTATTCGAAAGTAAATGAACCAGGTCTGAAACTATTTGACAGTTTCATTAAGCAATTCATATGAAATACTAAACAAATAGTTATTTAATTTCACAAATAAAGAGTATACTTTTCTTTTGTTTTGTATTACTTTTATTTTACATTATAACAAGATTAATACAACATTTGTATCCCTCGGCAACAATTTTCTGCTTTCTGGAAGAAAGATGCCCCATGTCCTTTACTGAAATCTGAGCCAAAGTGTATGTATGTTTTTGGGTTTAAACAGTTTTGTTACAACGATAAGGTTTGTTATGATTATTTGATTAAATATATCGAGGGTTGCGGGGTCAAACCCGATAAGTGACAAAAATTGAGATTTTGCCTAAAATTGTAGTTGTAATGTATTTTATGCGCTCCTTTTAATGATATCTACAGATATAGCGATTTTGACAGTTTGGATAGCGTAGTGGTTTAAGCGGTCACCTCGCTGCCACTACGCTCAGTGTTGTGGGTTCGATTCCCACATGGGACAACACTTTGTGTGATGCGCAAAATTGTTGTTTTGAGTGTCCTTTATGTCTGTTTTATCTATGATTGTTGTGACTGATTGTAATCAGATTGTGCACCTGGGGTCTTTGAATAAATGCATGACTTGCGTTTTATGCAGATTAATTTTAAGGTTATTCCGGGCTATCATACGTACAATCATTTGCCAACCAAGACATTAGATGTCTCGTACGTTTAAGCAGGTCGTTGATATAAAGAAGCAATAAAAGTGGGCATAAAATACTACCTTGAGGTACACCATTCTTAATTACCCGGCTTTCCGAAAGTTAGGGATCCTTATATTTAGTACGTGTATTTGATTTCTAGATGCTTGTCATTTGTATACGATTGCTGGGATGATTTTATTAGGTTTCAAACGTTGCCGCGGATTTCATACGATCTAGTTTTGTTAAAAAAAAACATTTTGAGATATGGGATACCTCAATAATTGCTTCAGATCTAGGGTTTGACCGCGGAAACCTCGATATTATTATTGAGTTAAGAAATAAATCACGATCACAGTGATTTCTTAGTCTGTCGAAAAACGACGGAAAGTAATCATAACATAAACATAAAATAATAATCTAATATTTTTAAGACTGTAAAAAAAGTTTACCTACAGTTGCATGATACTCAATATGTGGATTGCTCAATTTATCCCAAATCATAATTGATAGTTTGATACCAAAATATTTGTGACATCATATTCTTTACATTCGTCTAAATTAGATACGTCCCTACATAACATATAGCTTATCTTTTCAGCACTAAGTGTTTTATCTAACTGATAAGTTAAGAGCAGTTTTATAACTGAATGTTGTGCATTAAGGGTTTTATAAAGTGTAACAAATTTATCATGCCAATAATCATTCATAAAACCAGCGTCAGTCCGCTAGCACGGGCTGTTTTGATAGTCGTGGAGATACTTGGATTGAAAGTCGAAACCCGCGAGGTAAGCCTACCGGGACGAGACCAGTACAAGCCCGATTATTTAAAAAAGAATCCTTTACATACAGTGCCTTTGTTGGAAGACGGCGACCTTGTGTTAGCTGACAGTCACGCCATAAATGCCTATTTGGTATCGGCGTACGGGACCGATGAGCAATCGAAACTGTAGTCTACTGATTTTGTCTCTAGGGCGATAATTGATCAACGCTTGTATTTCGATGCTACCATACTCTTTCCGCGCTTGAGAACTGTTATTTATGGTGTTGTGAAGAACAGAACGCGTCTTACTCAGGATCAAGAAAGTGACATTTACGAAGCATACAGTTTTACCGAGATATATCTTGAAGTTACGCCCTATTTGGCAGGTAAACATTTGACATTAGCTGATATATCCTGTGTGGCAACACTGTCTGCACTGGATTGTATTGTTCCGATTGATAATAACTACGTAAAGTTAAACGATTGGTGGAATCGACTAAAAAAAGAAAGTTGGTATAAGAAACAAAATGAACCAGGCCTAAAACTTTTTGACACTTTTATTAAGCAATTCCTATAAAATATGTCAATTGTTGTTAAATAAAATTGTTGTCAAATAAATAAAGATAGTCGCGAAATAATATTTTTATTTTGTACTCAATTAGTTTTATTTAATGTTATAACCCGATTACTACATTTGTGTAAGTTTGTACAGTCAGCAAGAAAGGTCTACATAGTATATGTAGGCCTTTTACTAATTTACAAATCATCTGAACTTTAAGAAACTATTAAATAAATCATTTACCCACCCATAATTTTATTATTCTAATATTTTAGAAATGCTTACTAATTAATGTCATGTCGCTAACGCTATAGGCTTTAGTGATCAACGTCTTTTGCTGTTCAATTATGACGAGTTGTTTTGTAGTTCTGTTGGTTGAAATCTTATGGTAACAATAATAAGTAAATGGTGGCAACAAAATTGTATAAAGAAACGTATAAAATTTGTATAATAGATACTTGTTCACAAAATAACCACAACACAAAACGTTATATAATGATGAACCGAATTTAAAAAAAAAATACATTAGATCATTACTGAAGAATCGTTACCTAGTTTAATGAATTATATTATCCCAAACTCGAAGGGTTTACTCACGCAGTACAAAGTGAAGGATTTTAGAATCAACCTACCTCGATATTCAGATTAGCTTTAAAAACACAAATTACAATAAAGAAATAAATAAATATTTTGGACAACTGACATACAACGCGATCTAATTTTAAACTAAGCAGAGCTTGTACTATGAAATTTATATTGTCTTGTAGGTAGAATACTTAGTTTTTAAACAATATCGTACACATGTACGTAAATAACTGTCGTTTAGTCGTCGTATGTATTATATTTGACACAGTTACATGTTTATACTCGTAGCACAGGGTTGCAAATTATTTGTCGTGTATTTTAGAAACAAAATATGTTTTCTTTCCTTCTTTCTTCTTCTTTCTATTATGTTTACTATATTTTTAGGATACTGCTAGTGTTTGCCCAAGGCTTAGCTAGCGTGAAAGGCATTTTTCTATCCCTCGGCAACAATTTTCTTTTTTCTGAATGAAAGACACCCGATGTCTGTTACTGATATCTCTGGCAAAGTGTATGCAAATTTTTAGGTTTAAACATTTTCGAGCTCAAAAATGTTTTAACTTGCTGTCAGTCCCTCGACATAATACCTACTTAATTGTATTCCCAGTAGAATAAAAAAAAAAAGGGTGAGTGCCAGCTCCGACGCACGACTGGGGTTTACTCCATAAAACGCTTCAGCTGTACACAAGTATACAAGTTTTACACACACATTACTAAAAAGTGATAGATGCGCATGATAGGTTGCGCACAAAAAATGTGACTCGGTCTTTTAATCATTAAATTTTACTTTTCATATTTTTTTCGTATCTTATATGAAAATCAATTCTTACTTAGTGAATTTAAAAAAATGGTTGATTTTGTTTAGTTATTATGTACCTATTAATCCTACGGTCTGTTGCGTGTGCTTGAGAAGTCGAGCCGTTCGTTAATTAAATCGTGGGGAAAAATGATTGATTTTATTTATGTTTCATTTTTTCAATTATGGCGTTCAAGTTATGTTTTGTAATAGTTTGTATAGTTTTTATAAAATGTTAAGTATATCATTTTTGTTTAATGAACTTATTTATTTTAGGAAATACCCATATTTAATGACGACCAATTGTACTTTATCTTAAGAAAGTGTAGAATATGTAGGTACATAAAGTTAAAAAGCAGGCTTTGCGTCATGCTTGTTATTTACATTGCATAATATACTTAGGCTTGGATGGTTTAAACTGATATTTTGCTACTCGGGTCAAAATCGGTCAAATTATTTGTGTTGCGGTATCTAAACTGTATGAAATCTTTTGCAATGTTTAAAAATTGAACCTTACATTTATATCAGTATTTTGTTTTAGTCATTTTATCAACCAAAATTTATTAGCAAACATAAATGTGTTACAAATATTCCGACAGTAAAAAAAAAATAGGGTACGTAATTTACGTTTTATTTTGACACAGGGTGTTCCTGTCAGCGAAGAATAATACATGGAAGAATAAGTGAAACTGGAAAACGATTCGTGGTAAGTTTGCAAGTCAAGTTGTAATCACTAAAAAATCATAAATAATATTAAATTACTAGATAATGAACGTCTAGGTATTTATTGTCGAACGTCGATCATAAACATCAAATGTTCTTTCAGGTGTACCTATTGAATTCGAAGTATTCCGACGTCCAACCAGTTGGATGGCTTTGCGGTGGTGCTTTGATATCCGAATCAAATATATTGACATCTGCAGCATGCCTTACCGAAGTCAAATATATGTATGCAATAGCTGGATATAGAAGATATGTTAGCGGAACGGACATAGACAAGGATGAATGCACGCGAGTAAAAAAGAATAAGATTGTCGAAACTATTATCCCAGCAGGTAACACAATTGAACATTGTAATTGTATACGACGATATATTGTATTGTAATTGTAATTGTATTGTATTGACGGCCCTTTTGCTTAATTAGTTGGTGATGTTGATTGTAAGGCCACCAGGTGGTGGGTTTGATTCCATCTTGGCCAAATATTGTGTGACAATCATTAGTTCTGTGTCTAGGTGTTTTTTATCTATAATATACGAGTGTACTACTCGTATATTATCGTCTCTCTCTTACAATGTGATGATGAGATTGATCGAACTGTACAGCATCGAATCAATACGGGATGGATGAAGTGGCGGCAGGTAACGGAAACAATTTGTGACCTCAGTTTCCCCTTAACACTAAAGGGAAAATTTATAACATTATCATCAGACCTGCCGTCCTGTATGGTTCTGAAAGTTGGCGGATGCTGCGAACGGATGAGAGGCGCCTGAACGTGGCCGAAATGCGAATGCTGAGATGAATGTGTAGTGTGACTCGGATGGCTAAGCTTAGGAATGAGTATATACGAGGGAGTCTCAAAGTAGCGCTACTGGACGAAAAGTTAAGAAGTAATATGTTATTTTGATATGGACATGTCATGCGAAGGGATGAGGAAAACGTGGCTAGGAAAGTGTTAGGTATGGGAGTTGAAGGGTACAAGAGAAGAGGAAGACCAAAGAAAAGGTGGATGGATTGTGTGAGTGTGGATATGGCTAGGAAGGGAGTAAACAGTGAGATGACAGATTAATGATGATAGAGGAGAATGGAACAATCATACTTACTGCGCCGACCCCAAATAAAACTGGGATAAGGGTAGGCAGAAGATTTACATGTTTTTTTTTTTTTTAATTCACACAACGCCATCTAGTCCTAAACTAAGCAGAGCTTGTACTATGGGTACTAGACAACTGATATAAATACATATATACTTTTTTTTTTGTAAATACATACATATTATACATAGAAACACCCAGACCAAATCAAACATCAAATGTTCATGCACACAAATGTTTGACTTGAGCGGGAATCGAACCCGCGACCTTTGGAATAGCAGTCCGTTACAAAAACCACTACGCCATCCAGTCGTCGTAATGTAAATAATGTAAATGTAAATAAGTCAGAATGAACGCGTCTTTCTTCTAAGCTTAATATGCAAAAATGATTTAACCTGTCACTGTATAGTGGAATAGTTTTACGGATTCCGTTTTTTATGCACAAATACCTAATGAAGCGAGACTGAATTGACTCCACATTATCTATGTGTGTAGCATAATAAGGGGACCATATAGTGGAACAATATTCTAAATGACTCCTTACTAAACTACTTGCGTTGTAAAGTAATAAGTCCTAAACTAAGCAGACCTTGTACTATGGGTACTAGACAACTGATATAAATACATTATATACTTTTTTTTGTAAATACATACATACCATACATAGAACACCAGACCAAATCAAACATGAAATGTTCATGCACACAAATGTTTGACTTGAGCGGGAATCGAACCCGCGACCTTGGGAATAGCAGTCCGTTACACAAACCACTACGCCATCCGGTCGTAGTATAGAAATATATGTGTCCAACTGACGGTAATAGGCTTGGCATATTTTTTTCCTGTGTTGGGGTCCCTTCGGATACCACCCACCAGTGGGGTGGTTATGTCGGACTCGAACCGACCAAAAACCGTACGCCGTCTCTAGGTACCAGTAACCGAGCGACGACCGTAGCCGCAAGGCTTAAGGGTGTGCTCAACAAGCTTCCAAAGTCATAGGTTCAAATCTACGGCGATCCAATAGCTCTTTGTGAAGCTGTAATGCTCCAAAAAAAGAGACCGCTGAACGGGATCGGGAAAGGGCCGATCCCGAACGTAGAGGACGTCGGCGCCGATAACAGCCGTCGTGGGCGCCGCAAGCCGCCAGAGAGGGGACCTCTGGTGGCAAATTAAATTGCTGCGGTAGGGCATGGAATGGCCGGCCTGATTGCATTAAGATGTGATCGGGCCGCCATGCCGCGATTGTTGTGGGGAGTGTTCTCCCCTGGGATAGGGCCTGATTAGGCATGGTGTCAATTCGGGGTGGACCTAAAATAACATGGTCCGGGTCCTCCCCAGAGTAAGACACCTGAGGCCGGCCGTCGGGGTGGTTTTTAGTGGAATCACCACATACTCCTGGCTCATAGTCCCCGAGGAGCAGGAGATCCGAAGGGATTTTCCACCCCGTCAACAAAAAAAAAAAAAAGGTACCAGTAACCGGGGAACCATACCCTAGAAAGGAAAGCCCTAGTACAATAGACTTCTTGCCCCTAATACGTGATTGAGACTCGAGCGGGAGGGACTCCAGAGGCGGCAACGCACTTGTGATTTTTGAGTTGCAGGTGTCCATGGGCGGCGGTAGTTGCTTACCATCAAGTGACCCGTCTGCTCGATTGGCCCCTTATACCATAAAAAAATATGGACGTTTCATTCGCCTAGGTCAACACTTCTAGGAATAAAAGACGTGAGTGTAGTGTGTTTATATATTTAAAATTGATTTTAGAGTTCAAAGGTAGTCAAAATCCTGAAGATTGGATGAAATACGATGTTGGAATAGCAGTAGTTGAGAAACCTTACAACTTTACAGATTTATCTTACTACGTACTTTGCTCTTACGCACCAGCAAAAACTTTTATCAATTATGATAAGCGTCTCGAAGTTCCAAGCACTGAAAGTTATATATTTGGTTGGGGTGGAAATAGAGGTCGAAAAGTAAGTATGAATTTAATTACCTATTAGACAAATACAACCGTGGGAGAGCCATGACTGACTCGACCAAAGTAATACCCACGGCCTCACAGAAAACCGGTGTTAAACAATACATACGTTGTATTTCACCTAGTGAGTGAGCTCACTGAAGGACCAACTAGGAAGGGTTGAGCCTCCCTCTAATTCTGGGAGGAGCAGTCGAAGGAAACGCGATTGTGACTCTTAAGTTGCAGGTGTGTATGGGCAGCGGGAGTCATTTACCATCTATACCAAAAAAACTTTTTAAAAAGTTTAATTTAGATATTAGATACAATGAGTTTTTGACGTGACAACGTCTTATAATTCGATGGAGCCGGCTGCACGCACGAAAAAACATGACTCATGCGGCGTTACCTCGCTCTGAGGCGTTCCATTTAAGGCTTGAAGTGCAAGCGAGAGCGCGGAACGAGCGACAAAGAGGCACAATCGGCCTCCGCCTTTGGCAGCGTTTGACATCTGTCTCTCTCCTACTTGAGTGAGCGATGCGTCCGCGTGGACAGCTGCTATACAATAATACATTTATATGTTTTTGTAAAATGCAACCATTCCATCTGTATTTTCTTATGACGTTGTCACGTTCAACTATCGTCAGTAAACCGACTTTACAGACAACCGATTTTTTTTTATTGTATAGGGAGCAAACGAGCAAACCGCTCACCTGACCATCCACCTGGAAAGCGACTATGAACGCCCATGAACGCCTGCAACTCAGGCCTTTGAGAAAGGAGTACACTCTTTTCTTGAAGGTGTAAAGGTCGTATCGGTCCGGAAATACCGCAGACAATAACTTGTTCCATAGGCTGTTAGTACGAGGCAAAAAGTGTCTCGCACAGGAAATCGCACAGTGCTAGAGGGCCAATTATCCAAGTGGTGGGGATACAATTTTTGCCATGTGGAACGATGGCGGAAAGTTGTGGCCGTTTTTAGTCCGAACAATTCCTCTTAGCACTCTCCATTTATTCTAGCCGCACTTTATTCTAGAATCCATAGTTTTTTACATTCTATAAAGTTTGTAAATCAATTTATGAATATAGTACTATCTTTATCTGAATAAACAAAACAAAAACGAGTTAGTTACAGTATTTACAACTCAAGAACCGAATTTTGTGATGTTTGTTTTTTTTAACTTTCCGCTCCGAAAAGTAGAACACCTATTAAAGTAGTTTAAAATTCACGAAAAAAGAAATAAAGAAGAAAATACCTTTTTATGCATTGTATATAAAACCTAACACGAATAAAGGACTGTTAATATAATCTCAGGGAACTGCTAGTTCATGATCAACAGCCTTTAATAGTCCACTGATGGACATAGGCCTCTACTTAGAAAGGAGGTTTTAGCCTACTATACCACGCTGGTCAGACGGGTTAGTAATTATAAGGTTTGTTTCAAGTTTTCCTTCTCCTTGCAGGTTGTCCTGCGTAGTTTGCTCCCTTAGTAGGCTCTTAAGGCACCCACGGGATGAATAGCGGTGGTGACACTTTGTATTCTTCTACTAGTTATTGATAGTTTTTGTTACCAATTTTTAGCCGAATGCAAAGCAAGATCTGAATACTGAATACATGCATGAAGCAAAAACAGTTCTAACCAACACATCATTTTGCGAACACTACGTTAGTGAGAAAATGAAAGCAGTTGTGCAGAGTTCTTTGTTGTGTGCGTACGGCTCTGGGTACATCGGTGGAAGTGGAAAGGAGGATTTTGACCCAGACCCTTCACTCGACGACGACTGTCTTTGGCGACGGTTTAATTTGAATGCACCAAGTAATGGAACGGTACGAATTAACATTTACTAAATTATAGCACCTAATAACTAAAAACTACAACATTATAATCATTTCGGCAAGGTCTTAAATATGTATATGATATTATAGCCTGTATATCATACTTGTCACGGCAGTACATATATTGAATTACTATTTTCTTTGAGAGTAAGAATGTTTGTTTTTTTCCTTGCTGTTGAACATATTTTGAATATCGGATTATTACAGATCTGAAATATCTACAAGTATATTTTCACAAAAACAAAGTTTCTAAGGATCAGTAGTCTAGAACCTATTATACAAGCTTTATAAGTGGGGATTTAGAAAGCGCTATCAGTTATTTAAACATTAATTTCGAAAATATCATGAGGATTTAGCAAATTTAAATTATTTTTATTCAGTATAAAGCTCGTTTTTTTAGTATTCTGCAACCAAATTTTTTAATGTGTAGTATAAATTTTGTTAATTTAGTGTGAAGATGAGTTTCATGAAGATCAAAAAAACTTCAACGATAATCTATCAGACGAAATTCCTGAGAGGAGGAGTTTTGATGGATTTGCCGACAATGGGGGAATATGTGAGGTAAAGTGAAAAATTACTATAATTTTACAAACTTTTAAACTTTTGAGTTCAATGATACATGAGTGTGTTTTTTTTATGTTAGGGGGGCAGACGAGTTGACGGGCACCTGATGGAAAGTGAACATCGCCGCCCATGAACGTCTACACGTTCACGTCTACATGGTCACTTTCACTCAGGAGTCACAAACGCGTTGCCGGCCTTTTAGGAAGGAGTACGCTCTTTTCTTGTGTATACGGGATTTAACGAGATCTTGTAATAGGCATTGCATGCGATTAAATTCACTATGACACGGCCAGTGCAATGAGAAGGTCAATTCTCGTTCCGATCCGTATTTTTGTAGTAAAATAGTAAAGTAGAGTATAGAGTAGAGTAGTAGATTAAATTTTTGGTTACAATACGATATAATCACATTACAGTCAACGTTGGATGTTTAATACTTTACTACGAAAATACCTTTCATGACAGTTGGGAGATCGAGAGTTGATCCGAACTGAATTGAGACCGAACTTTTAGTTTATTTATTTTTAATTCAAGGATATAAAATCTACTACGTAATCGCGTTAGAACTCGTCTACATATATAATTACTAGCTTTTGCCCGCGTATATGTTGTTAAAAATTAGTCTATGTCATTCGAGGGAAATTTTGTGAATATTGTATTTATTTGGATAAGGATTAATATTATGTTTATAAAAACACCTTAGCAAATAATACATTATTTTGAACTACATGCTACATATACATATTATGTTTTTCGAGACTTTTCTTTTAGCACTTTTAAAGCTAAACAATTCTGTCGTACATGATATTTTTGCGAAACTTTAACCGTTTATGCAGCGCACGCAACGGAAGCTCTCACTAGGAATAATTTGCTTCTGTTTTTGCAACAATTTTTCAATTATACTCCGCTCCTATTATTCATAGCGTGATGGTTTATAGCCTATAGCCTTTCTCGATAAATGGGCTATCTAACACTGAAGTTAGATTTTCAAACCGGACCAGTAGCTCCTGAGATTGGCGCGTTCAACCAAACAAAGAAACTCTTCAGTTTTATTTAATATTAGCATAGATTATAATTATAGGTATAATATACGTTAACTAAAAGCAAAATAAACCTCCTTTCTAAGGAGAGGCTTATGTCCAGCAGTGGACTATTAAAGGCTGTTGATGATGAAAAGCAAAATACATTAGATTCTTTTTAAACAACGTGTTACACTGCACATTACTATATTTTTGAGCCTCTTTAGAGTCTTTACGTTCCTAAGTATATAATTACACCCGCATATTCGTCCGTGTCGTCCGTGACAGATTAAGAATACGGAGTGTCACCTTCCCTATTTATCCCGTGGGTGTCGTAAGAGCCGATTAAGGGAGCAAACTACGCAGGAAAACAGCACTGCAAAGAGTAGGATAATTTAACACTAACCCTTTTTTTTTTTCAACGTGTGGAAATCCCCTCGGACCGTCACCCCACCGGGGTTTGCGGCGGGGTGGTGTGTCGGACTCGGACCGACTAAAACCACACGGTGTGCCACTCTGCGCCTGTAATAGGAGGGATCCGGGAACAGCTGTTATTAAGACATCCGGACCCCTCCTAGCGCCAGCCCGCTCTTGGTGCGGGCTCCTTCTCAAAATTTAATTTAACACTAACCCTATACCAACCCCTCTGGCCAGCGTGGTATAGTAGGCCAAAACTTCCTTTTTGAAGGCGACGCCTGTGTCCAGCAGTGGACTATTATGATGATGATGACGCATATACGAGCATGCGGTTACCTTTGTTCCCAACCCGGTGGTTAGTTGTAGACCTTGTAGAGTAAAACAGGTTAGGAGCAGAGCCTTCAATCATCATTTAAAATCACAATGGAATAAAGTTAGTTGTTAGTGATGAATCATTACCACTTCGTTATTTTATTGTTTACGGTTAAATAACATTTATTTGCATAATTTCGATGTAAATGATGATGGTTGTCTGTGTAAATGTGACAAACTACAGCTTGGTAAACCGTATCACATTGTTTTGCCACAGTAGGATATCTGCTTCACTAATATCCATTGGATTCTTACAAAGTTTTATGAAATATGTTATGGGCAAATCTTCTACGCTTTCTTCTAAGTTTTTGTAAATATTCATCATCGTCGTCTAAGTCTCAACACTTAGGTGACTTCCTAATCTTATCTTCTAAGGCATTCGAATTAAAATATTAAAATAATAATAATAATTTCTAATGCATATTTACAGAACGATCACGGTGGTCCGTTGGTTACTTTTCTTGGAAGTACAGAAATTATTATAGGAATCTCAATAACCAGTATATATACGTCACGCTACGAGTGTGAAGGACCTTATCTTTATTATGGAGTGGCAAAAATGGGTCCTTTAATACGTTGTTTAATGGCAAAATCCAGTGAAACGTAAGTTATATTTTGATTATGTTCAACAATTTAACGAATAAGAATAGATATTATTAAACTCATTCGTAGAAAATGTACTGCTTTACTTATTATAACTTGGTCGGTGAAGTCATCAAGCACAAGCCTTTGGTTGCTTTATGCTATTATTGTAATTAAAGTAGATTCAAAGTAATCTCTGTGCTACTACTTATCTTTCGCGCGTAAAGGTTGCTATGACGATAGGTATGATGGTTAACATTTTTATTACGAGTTTCCCAAATCAGTTCATCCTGTAATTGACTTACTTCTCAGGTAACAAGCATTAAAAAATACTACCAAATTGAGAATATAATCCTCGTTATGAAGTGCCTTGGTTTATAATGATAAGGAATTTGTAATTAAAATAATATTTTGTTAACATTATATGCAGAGAGTTATTTTGGTTAAAAAGTGGAAATCCCATAAGTGTCCCACAAAAAGATATTTAAGGCATTCTAGTTTAGTACCGACGACACTAGTAAGCTTGAAACGGTATTATGTTAGAGTCTAAACGGGTACAAAACATAAAGAAATCCTCTTCCTCGTTGAAGAAGTGTCCGCTGCCGGTGTGGTGACGGTTTAATAATACGGAGTGTTACTTCTCTTAGAGCATCCTTGCGCAACCGATACTGTATCGCAAGGAGTACTGCATCCAGATCCCAGGGTGCGGATCCGGCAAATAGGCTGGCCGCCTCGAAGGGGATCGTACGGTACGCTCTTATTACTCTGATGGCTATCACACGTTGCGACCTTCGCAAAATCACGATATTTCGAGCCGTCAGAGTGAACTTAGTATAGATTTTAAGTTCTTAAGGTTAACCTTGGCATAAAGTGTGTGATGTGAATGGTGCGTGGGTAGAAAATTGTTGTTTTATGAAAATAACATATTTTTTTTAGACTTGCATTATGCAAACAGTTATCATACAATGCCAAGAAAGTGAAAATAGTTTGGCCAGCGGCTTCAAGAGAGCAAATTATAACAACGACTCCTAAACCGACACATAAACCGAGCACTCGAACAACACGTCAGTGGTCACCAAAACGGACGACAAAACACAATACCAAACTGGCAACGAAACATACAACCAAACACATATTAAGATTTACGCGAAAAGAGGTTCATATAAAGATGAGAGTTACCGAAAACCATAAAGTCTTAAAGTAAGTAAATAGTATTAGTGAGGTAGGACTTTTAATTTGACTATTTTTTATTTATAAAAAACTTATCAGCCCTCAACTTAGTCAATTATTCATTCAACATTAATCAATTATTTTTGACATCAAAATAATTACTGCAATGTAAACAAGCAAAATCTTTAACATAACAAGTACTAAAAATAAGGTGAAAATATGCACCAATACTTTTTTCCTCTCATGCACGACAAAAAGTTGCCCAATGAACGAAAATATATTATTTTCATATTAAATATTATACTCATCAAATTAACCGGAGCGTACAAACGTAATAATCACACATATGTATAATTGAATAATTATTTTTGAATCCCGTCTGGCCAGCGTGTTATAGTAGGCCAATTCCTATTTTTTAAGGTTTAAAGCGATCCCGTCAGAAATGAGCTGCTTCTAGAAAAGTAGGTTAGAATAAAACTACGATCCCACAAGAGAACGATTCGCTATCACAATAGAGCTGTGACCAGAATAGTAAGTTAGGTTATAAATAAAAGAAAAAAGTTTGAAAAAAACTAGAAAACACGCTTTTGTAACTAGCCGAACTAAAAATACAAAATAAATGACTAAAAATTTTCTATAGGTTCAAAAGAAAAAATCATTTATGTAAAATGGGAGTGGGCTGCTAGATCTCAATTGTTGTAAAAAAAAGACAAATATTGGTAATAGTAAAGTAAAGTATTATAGTATCCCATTAATAGTTCATCATAGCTTCTCATAAAGACTAAAAATATCAAGTAAGTAAGTCACATATACTTCAAGACACGCCTTTTAGTACGTAGCAAAAGACACTACAGTTTTTTTAGGTTTGGAAAAATTTATTAATCCTGAAGATCAGAATAATCGGGCTAATTTATAAAGTTATTGTATTGTCATCGGTCCTTGATAAGTGTGCGAAGTTTCAATTTAATTCGAAGTTTTGAAGTGGGGCAAACTCACATTCGAAGATTCCATTACATACATTCATACATACCAAGCTACTAAAAGCGAATTAAAAAGTGCCGCTTTTCAAATAATAACGATGCGTCACGAACTTCAATTTTTGCTAAAATAATAAAATTTAGGTAACTATGTATATTGCTGTGCAATCAGTATTTTTAAATTAGGATTGGGATTTTTTGATATAAAAAAAAAAAATTATGATTGACAGTTAAATAGTAGCTTTTTTATATTGTTACATTATGGAAACCGTTTCAATAATAATACTTTATTGAAATCCTTTTTGTATTTCCACAAAAAATTAACGAGAATCTCTACAGTAGAGCCAAATGTGTCGTAGTCATTACCGTCCACATCAAAATTTTGCAGTATACTTAAGGTTAGCTTTACATTTTTTTTTCGATAAGTGAAAATTAGTATTTTTCACTATCAATATTGTGTAGATGGTGTATGTGTGTGGTGGTGTGGTGGATGTGATGATGTGTAAGTGTAGGCGAGTGTATGTGTGTGTACACTTAATGTATGTATGTATGTATGAACGAATTGTTTTAACTAGCTTTTGCCCAAGGCTTTGCTTGCGTAAATGTCAATTACGTTTTGAAAAGTTAAAAAATATTTGTCTATTTTTTTTTCGACAAAGAATAATAAGTATAATAATAAACCTTACACACGTCAGTCTGATCGCAAACTAGGCAGAGCCTGTACTATGATAACCAGACTGCTGACAAACATACTTATACAATTCTAAATACATACATATTGTATTGAGAGTTTGGAATCGATAGGTTAAAAAAATATGTAGTTCCCACGTTACTTGCATCCCTCTTTAAGGGTAGTTTTGCAAAATTAGGGTGGAATTTATAAAAATCCTACGACTGCACGACTGCACGGATGGCGTAGTGGTTTAAGCGGTCGCCACGCCGCTTCCTACTACGCCGAGTGTTGTGGGTTCAAACCCCACATGGGACGACACTTTGTGTGATCCACAAATTGTTGTTCCAAGTCTGGGTGTTATTTGTGTCCGTTTCATGTATGTTTGTAAAGTCCCCCGCCACACAGGATATTTTCCTAATGCGGGAGTTGTCTTTTATAAAAAAATAAAAAAAAAATAAAAATAAAAAATATTTGTGCAAAATTAAATGCTACTATACCCAGCGGTTGCAGCAGCTGTGCGTTGAACGATCAGTCAGTGAAACAGTCTGTCAGTTTCTTCTTTTATATATTATTATATAGATTATTAAATTATTGTAAGCGAAAAATAATCCAAGTGTTTTTAATATTCATGTTTTTTATTTTGTCTGTTTTGTTTTAACAGTAACGTTTATTGTTACAGGCCCAAAGATGTAAGTCTGCGACCGATAAGGGACATTAAACTGTAAATTATTAATAATTATAATTATTCGTACGAAAGCGTTTATTATTCTAACTATAATAGTATCCGGAGAGCTGTTCTGCTTGTGAGTTGACATGTCTAGAGCCTTATCCCTTATAGCTTAATGTAAACGATGTTCATTTACATCATGTATTGATGGGCAAAATCCAGTCGGTTTTCGAATACCCTCGGTTTTCCAGATACTTACCAAATTCTTATTTTTCCAAATTTTTTTAAATTATTATTTTGTGTCTCACTTGCATAAAATGACGAAGCATAGTTTTTAGGATACATTTTAATACCTAATTGAAAAAAAGGAACAGTTGGAGTTGAAATTCTGCAACAGCCTGTCTTTGTCTTGATCTCGGGAATTCATGATACATGATCATGGTCTGTTATAACAATATACTTATATTATGATCAAGATCTGGTTTACGTTTGCAGTAAAAAGAAAATGGATGGTGTTGTTATAATTTATTAATTTTCCTATTTCGGTATAGAACTGTGTGATTTGCGTCAAAATTCTTATTTAGAAGAATAGCAAAATGGAGAGCTCCTTTTAATGAGATAAAAATCGGGCTCGAGAATGATTAAACAAAGTAGTGTGCAGCAGGAAGATTCTTATATCCTAGACATTACTCTGTTCTATATCAACCGACTACATTACCATACTATGTCCGTGTGGTGACGTATTAAGAATACGGAGTGTCATCACCTCAAAATCTATTCATCCTGTGGGTGTCGTAAGAGCCGACTAAGGTAGCAAACTACACAGTCAGCACTACAAAGAAAAGGACAACTTGAAATAAACGGGGTAGGCCTATGTGGCCTCCCTCGTTTGTTTTAAGTAGCAGTAGACTGCTCAAGTGAAGTTATTATAAACGCGATATTTACCATCTTTATTTGCGGGAATTTGTTTCCGATATTTTGCCACTGATGCAAGCGCCGTGATGTCGGAAGAACATTACATCATCACATCAACAGCCTTTAATAGTCCACTGCTGGACATAGGCCTCTCCTTAGAAAGGAGGTTTTGGCCTACTATACCACGCTGGCCGGAAGAACGGTGTGTGTATTTTGTAAAAAAACGATTGTAAACTAGAACGATTTCAATCAAATCAAAATCAAGATGTAGGTAATCATGCTTCATTATTTTTATTTATGCAATGGATAATAGTAATATTATAGTAATAATTTAAATCTTTAAGGCGGGTTTCGGACGTCTTAAAAGTTTTTTTTATTTTTTTTGCTTTATTTTATACAAGGGATTTTTGTACTTAAAAATGACGAAATCATCCCATCATCATCAATCCCATAATACCTTATTCTAAGCTAGCTACTACATATTAATATTATTACTACTTAAAACTAAATTATAATGCATTTTAGCTGCCTCCGAATTTGGATCAGCTAAAACGCTTTGAAATGTGCCAACATTGTTCAGAGTTAATTTAAATTTATTAAAAAATTGGGTTCTTTTATACCGTTAGCCGTTACCGGGTAGCGTTATACCGTACACATTCCATAAGTATGTGATAAATATCAACACGTTTTCCACATACGTCACAATTGGGTGACTCAATCTTTTTCATTAAAAATCCGAAACTTCTACAAGGAATGTGACCAGTCCGTAACCTCGTCTTAAAAGTATATTGTTTTTGAAAAGCAGTGATCTTCCCGCGCACCGTCATTTTATGGCGGTGTGGTATATTCTATATATATTCTATCCGTCTTCTAATTCTAAAACACATCGTTCTAACAATATATTTATACTTATATTATAAATGCGAAAGTGTGTCTGTCTGTTTATCTGTCTGTCTGTTACCTCTTCATGATTAAACCGCTGAATTGATTTAGATGAAATTTGGTATAAAGATATTTCGGCTGTCGAGAAAGGATATAGGATAGTTTTTATTACAGAATTCATCCTTTAAAAGGGGGGTGGAAGTTTGTATGAGAAATTAAGAACCGCTGAACCAATTTAGATGAAATTTGTTATGGCGATAGTTTGATTCTTAATGAAGGACATAGGCTATTGTTTACTGCGACATACACGCAGGCGGAGCCGCGGTCAAATGCTAGTATATGTTACTGTGTACTCAATTCAATTAGTTAATTAGTCAATTAGTTGGTATTTAATAAAACGTCTATAATTACCTCCCCATAAGTGTACCTACCTTATCCTTTCTCTGCATTGAACAATCGGTCGATTCGTAGATAAAGTCCATGGATGCATATTTTTCTTTTCTTTCCTCATTCTTTTTATAAAAGACAACTCCGGCATTAGGAATAAATCCTGTGTCGCGGGGGACTTTACAAACATACATGAAACGGTCACAAAGAACACCCAGACTCAGAACAACAATTTGTGGATCACACAAAGTGTCGTTCCATGTGGGGTTTGAACCCACAACACTCGGCCTAGTCGGAAGCGGCGTGGCGACCGCTTAAACCACTACGCCATCCGTGCAGTCAATATAGTTTATATTTGTGCATAAAGTTTTTAAATTAATAACAATTAAACTGATACTCAGTGTCAGAAATAATAATAAAGAAATACTAATTCCCGAAAATAAACATGGAAAATATTCACTTTATAATAACTTTAACTACTACACGCCTGAGTATAAAATGGCAAAGCTTTGTTTTTCTTATGCGAGTTTAGGTATTGTGTCTTTTGTATTTGAAGTGCATTCGTATTACTTTCACAAAAACCCTACCTTGACTTGTACTAATGTGTAAAAAGTAGTACTAAACCTGTATATTAGATTATATTTGACTCTTAAGTTATGTATGTCTGACCTGTTATACGACCACATTTTAATAAAGAAAATGATCAAATTCAAAAAGAAAAGTAACCAAAACTTTTTATTATAAAAATGTATTATTCATTTTATATACACATGCTACTAACAGTGACTAACAAAGAAAATGATACTAACAGTGAAACACAGATAAAATAAATTAGTGAAATATTTAGATCACTGTAGGATTGTGCTGTATTGAACATTTCAAACGTATTGGTGGGTGCACAAATTAAAAATTACATAGTCAATTAAGCCTCAATTCGCCTAATTGCTTAAAAATATAATGTTGTACAATTTACACTTGTTTAATTTACTAATCTTTATAATCGGCAAAACAATGACTGTTTAATTTACATTATACTGATTGTTCATGGGTATTTGAGGCCGAATCATAACATCATCCTGGGGCCTGAAAAATTAAAGTATCAATGATTTACATATTCAACCTATATAAACATATCAATATAGACTTTCTTCTTTCTAGATAATCGTGATTGAATCGTAATCGACACAAGTGCGTTGCCGGCTTTTGCCGACACAAGACCATTGCGCCACAAGGAATATATCCTGTATCACAGGGGACTTTACTAACATACATGAATCGGAAACAAAGAACACATAGATTCAGAATAACAATTTTTGTATGGCACAAAGTGGTGTTCCATGTGGCGTTCAAACCCAAAACACTCTGCGCAGTAAGGCGCGACGTGGCGACCGCTTAAACTACTATGCCATCCGTGTAGTCTCAGGCTCTTGAGAGGTTAGAATGGATACGTCTTTATTACACAGTGAGTTACACAGTTTACGTTCAACTGAAATTCGATTAGACTGCCAGACGGACGGACAGTTGCTCTCCAACGTTTGTACTAACTGTACTCGCTTTCATCTCGAGCGTAATTCGGTAGAATAATGCCTGTGAGACAGTAGACAACGCAGTTTGAGCCGTCATGTGGCACAAACAGGACTTTAGTATGGAACTGAAAGCAGCGTAAATTCTGATACACATTCCACGTGACTTACAATTCAAATATTTGGCCTCACCCAAGCTTGCCTTGATTAACTAAGCTTATTATAGAGAGGTATACCATTGATACAGACTGTACAAAATTACAAAACTCATCGTGATTCTTCCTGTTGTTCTTTCACATTATAATATCGGTACTATAAAACTTAAAACCTTGTTACGTCTTTGTGTAAAACATTGTGCATTGTTAACTATCTCTTGGGTAAAATTATATCCTAAATTTTACTTTGCACAAAATAAGTTACTTACAGAGGGATTTCAACACGTGGATACATGTCATGTTGTTGATTATTTTCTTTATATGGTTCATCGAATGTTCTATCTTGCAGTACCTGCTCAAATATCCGTTTTTGTGTTTGTTCATATCTGGCTGTAGTTTGTGGTTCACTAGGTAGATTCTGGAGTTGAGCAAATATCTCGTCGAATGAAAAGGAATCGTCATCGGATAGTGTTGTGGTATTATTCTGTGCTAATAGTTTCTGATATGGAGACTCAAGTTGGCTCGTGTGTAGTTGCGAGTTTGGTTGTGATTTTGAAAACTGTGCTGGTGGTTTTTGAAGTGATATTGGTGATTGAGCAGACTTCTGCGGTTGGTTTGGTGTTAAATCTGGTTTCCCAAAGTGCAGTTCGGGTGAAAAGTCGTACAATAACTCAGGTTGTTTTAGCTTTAGTTTTATTGGATTATTTTCCATTGAGTCGTGATCTAAAGAATGACCTGAGATCTGAGTCGGTGGTTGATATATGTAGGGATTATCTAGTGGTTCGCTTTGTTTGTGTAGCTGGTGGTATTCTACAGCAATGTTATGTTGTTTGATCTGCGATGGCCCGTAAACTGGTGAATGTTCTTGCCTTGCTGTTAAGTCATGTTGTACTGGTATCTGTGGCTCTTGTTGTTGTTTCGGTGATGGTTTGTTTTGATATTCGTGAAGTGGGTTATATTTTACATCTAATGGTGGAGCATGTGATTGATCTGGTTGTGGTTCATATTGTTCTTGAATTGTCGCTAACTTATGTTGTGGTCGTACTAGTGGCTCGCGTTCTTGTGATGGTGATGGTGGATAGTACGGATGCTCTATAAGTGGGTTGTGATGTTCTTCTGTTGGTGAACCATATATTTGCATTAGTTCTGGGTTAAACTGTTCTCTTATAAGCGAGAATTGCTCTTCTTGAATTGGTTCATTATTTTGATTCTGTTGTGGACTATGTTGTTGATTATATGAAGGTGATTGATGTTTTTGGTTTTCAGATAAAGAGTATTCCTGTTGGTAGTCTGGCTTAAACTCACGCTCATTTTTTAGTGGCTGATATTGCTGATCTGAATGTAGGTTATATTGTGGCCTTAAAAATTCTTGTTGCGTCGATGCAAATTCGTTTGAAACTGCCTCGTCGTGTTCCTCTTGATATCTAACATCTATGTCAAACTGTGGTCGTTGTAGTAGAGGTGGGAATTGTGGTTTAAATAGTTTAGCAAAATATTCTGTTGGTGATAATTCTTCTGATACTGGAATGTATTGTTGTTCCTTTTGCTTTTGTTCCTTTTGATATTTAACGTCTATATCATATTGTGGTCGGCTTAGCAATGGTCTTAACTGTGTCCGCTGTGGTGCTTGTGCTCGTTTATAAATATTTTGGTTTATAGCTGTACCTTTTAGAGGGTTAAGACTTTGCTCTGCATTGAACTTTTTTACTGATCTTGTATATATTTGCTTGGTATACTTTATAGTAGCTCTAGGTATAAGAGGGCTAAGTTTATCAAGAACTGCTCGCTGTACTAACAACATTGGTTCCAATATTTTTGACTGGTTATAGTTGGGCCACATTATGTCAATTTCTTGGATTTCGTATGGTTCATCACTTATTCTTTTATTGCAGAGCATGCGTCTGTAAATAAAATGAAATGCGTCTGAAATGGAGTTAGTTCCCTTGATACAATCAAATTGGCATTGTTGAAATTTTTAAATCAACATTTAACGTACAAATTATAATAGGGCATTGTGTGTTTGTTTATTTATTATTACTGGACTACTACTACTGCCCCACTTCGTTCGCGTAGAGTTTGAAAAGCGCTGCCTCAGGGCCACCGGGTACGGGTGTGCAAAGCGTGCACCGCACATGGGTGGAATTTTCAAGGGGCGGCAAAAACTGATTTCGATTTCTTTTTGTTATTGTCTGTTTCGAAAACGAAACATTTTTATGATTTGCATGTCTAATTCATTTTTATCTCCTCACAGTAACATCTATCTAAAATAAATGCAAATGTTTATAGGCTGTGAATTACTTTATTACAGGTAAGTATGTACGAGTATAATTTAAATCACTCAACATGCGGGCGCGAGGTTCCCAAATATCCTAAACCGGACGAAAGTTTTACGTTCGGGATATTATAGGGCGGTTTAATTCTAGCACGCTGTTATTGCGACGTAAGACGCGTTATGGAGGATTGGCTCGATAGGAAACACGGGACCCTCTGATATTGGCTGACGCAAAGGATGCATAGGTGGTCACTTGTGTACTATCCGCAAAGAGCCACCGCCCGGGTGCTTCCACTACAAGGGCCAGAGCGTGGTCATGACGCTTTACACGCTGTCAAAATATCCAGCGTGTATGGAGCAGAGGCATGACTGATTGCGACCATGGTACGGAGCGGCTAACTTCTCCTGCGGGGCGAAGTGGGAGCAGGCCCGGGAACGGACCAGGTAGAAGCGCTTGTGATGACAGGCAGCGACGCAATCCACTCCGGAGCTCCTTTAGGGGCATGGAGGGGAAAGCGTGGTCACTACACATCAGGAGACCATCTGTAAGCCGTAAATGACTCGGGGCCCGTCGGGGTATCAGGGATTTCCTTTTTAGGTTACACTTGGTTGCCCGGCTACGGCCCTACTACTTTACTTTTCGATACAACTACACCACGCCACGTCTTAGTATATTACAGCCAAACTAATTGAAATAAAGTTTATGCCGGATGTGGCGGTGTTGTCGGCAAATGGGGTGCAGTCTGGGCTGGGCGCGTGGGCAAAGGAGGAAGCACGCACGTGTTGTCTCTCGTGTTCTCCACAAATGATGTTTTTGCTTCAATATAACAGTTTGTGTTTGTCTTTCTTTTCTTTCTAGAACTGCTAAAAATACTAAATCCCAGTCAATCAGAACGACGGAACCAACTTTGTATCCACGCAGACGAAACTGATTGACTGTCTCCCGCCCTTGTCTCCGAGGGAGGGGGGCTATACTTCGGCGTCCTATGTACCTCGCGGCTTATGGTGGCATGAAAATGTATAGAATGGAACCGCATGACATGAAGGCTGAGGCGTCACGCGACAAGCCACTATATGTCGCGGTATAATTATATCGAAATTAAATAATATAATTTCTAAGCTCATTGAAAACCTCCTCCTTTTTGTAGTCGGTTAAAAAATAGGCAGGCAAAAAGACAGACATAAATAGACCAGAAACAGACAAAAAACATTTAAACTGGTTTTCAGTCATAGGTATCGTGCAAATAGCTGCATGTGTGAGCATGAAAAAACCTATTAGTTATTTTGACATTACAAACAGACACTTCAATTTTATTTATACGTACTTACTTGTACTGAAGATGTATGTATGGGATTTAATGAATGTAAAGTTTCTATCAAAGATGTTTAACTCAATTTAACGTACTACTCAACTTTACAGTTTACGCTTGTGTTTCTTTATATAGAACTACTAGCTGGTACCCGCGACCCACTAAGGCAGCGCTTCTCAAATTCCTAGCGAACGAAGCTCGGAATTTGAGGCGCTGCCTTTGTGGGTTTGATTCTCGGTCCGGGCAAAATTTCATAGGGTTTCTCTAACAGAAAAGATAGCCTTAGTTACTCCTTATTTAGACAGCCACCTGGTAGTAACATATCACCGAAATCGGTCTAGCCGTTTAGAAGATTACCCGGAACAAACAGACAGACACAAAATATTTAAACTGGTTTTTAGGCATAGGTATCGTGCAAATTGCTGTGTGTGCATGAAAAAACCTATTATTTTGACATTACAAACAGAAACTTCAATTTTATTGATTGGTATAGATTAGAGAGACTGAAACAACTTTCATCGTACATTATTGGTCAATTATTTTTTTGCAAATATATTTTGATCCACTGTAACCTAATTACTACTTACGTTAGAGGATTAGTCTCTAGTAGACACTTAATTATTTTAGATGATGCAGCAGTACTAACATAAAGAAACGGTCCATCGCATTCACCATTTATGTTAGTGTTTGATGTGATTCCTATGATAACCTCTCTGTCATGAATCCATTTAATTAGAGGACTACCGAGGTTATTCTGAAAAATAAATATGGCTGGAATAGTTGTAATAACGTAAATTGACGGTATTCGAGTTTTTTACTCTAAACGGCAAAAATAAATAAATAAGGCTAAGAATTTCCTTTTGATCATTAGAATTTAAGTATACGCTTTGGCAGTACTCCACATTACTAAATGTTTGATTGTAACTGCCGTTTGATTGTAACTGGTATGGATTACCTTTTTTCCGATAAATCTCAACCTGAAATAGCAAAGTAACAGCATCATCATCATTACTAATCTTATTCTCATATCATCATATTTCTAAGGAGAGGCCTATGTCCAGCAGTGGACTGGCTGTTGATTCTCATATGTCACATTGTGTCTCTCATGACCGTTACCACTCCTTAGAGTTTAATTGATTAAGAAAAAAAAATCGTATCACTATTGAATACCATAAATAGAATTATATAATATATGTGGATAATATGATTATACGTTGTTAAATAATAATGTTATAATTATTTAATAAAAATATTAAGTTGATCTAGAGTCTGGCAAAACAGAGGGTACAGTAATACTTTGTTTGTTTTTAATTTGTGCTCATGTGGTAAATCCCATCTTAACTGGGAAAATCTATTGTGTTATGCTTGGTTAATTATACTCCCCATATTGCATAATGACTTAGAATTTGTGTTGAGAAACATCAAGAGCATACATTTAATTAACATGACATACATACGTTTAATTAGCATTTTCTTGAAGTGAAATAACAATATTCTATTACCTTGTAAATAATAGTATTCATAATATTAACAGTACCTGACAAATATTTGGATGTATAGCTTTTCTAGTCCCATAATTGTTTTTATTATTCATATTAATTCGAGTCTCTAATGTGATGTTCTCTGTTTCATCTCTCGGCTCACTATTATCTTCTTCATTATAACCTCTTCTGTATCCAAATATATCTTTGAACCCCTAAAATAACGAACTATTGAAAGATTTTGAATTTTAACATTTTGTTAAGGATGTTGTTTATTTAATATTTTTCTTTTCTTTATTTAAATATGTTTGTTCTGGTTAAGAAATCTATAGTTTATCCGGTCCCACAATCGATTAGAGCGAAGGACGTACCCTCCTAATGGGTAGCGAAGATATGTTCATCAGATATTAGTTACTTTTAAAGAACAAGAACTATAAATTATTATGTACGAATGTAGATTTTATCACCAAAAACTAATTCATACGAAAAGTGTGGGAAATAATGCAGAAATTTTTACGTTTATTCGTTTCTATTTTTGAATAGCTTCAGACTATAACAGTAGAAAGAAAAACAACACAAGTAACAGCAAAAAGCACCAAGAGTACGAGTTCTTTTACATTACATAATTTTTTCATTACTTACACTATTACCCCGTTTAGAGCCAGATCCACGATGTTTGTAAGCATCAAAAGATAGAGTTTCGAAAACACTATCTTCTGTAACTTCTTGTAGATTAATGGTGCCACACAAGTGATATTTATTTATTAATTGATGAATCTGTTTGGTATCAGTAATGGATGTACATATCTTTTTGTCCACGACCATTGTTGACGTTTCTTGTAGTAATTGATATTTAGTTTCTTTTCTAAACTCGGGCTATTGAATATTAATAGGAAAGTTATTATAGAAGGGTTTTTACTAATATTTTTAATGTGTTAAAGTTGTCTGGTCGTTTTCTTGTCTATAATCTTTTTTTAATAAATATTCATCATCATCAACAGCCTTTACTAGTCCACTGCTACGCTGGCCAGACAGGTTGGTAAAGAATTTTTCAAGTTCCCTTGTCTTTTTAGTGCTGTTGTTCTGAGTAGTTTACTCCCTTAGTCGGCTTTTACGACTCCCAACATATGTAACGGGGTGGTGACGTCACCACACGGATGAGTGCAAAAGAAAAACCATGACTTTCCAATTTTCATTAAATTTGAGAATTGTAAATGCAAATTAATTATACTTACTGTTTTTCCTCGTACACCCCATCCTAAGGTGACCGCACGGCTATTTATTATATCATGTATATTTTCAAAATTCACTAATATAGGTTGCGGTTCATAAGAACAATGAATAAGATAACTAAAATCGCTAAAATTATATGGCTTCTCTACAACTGCTACACCTATATTAATATTCTTGGGTTGTGCCGGATTCTCATAATCCAAATTATATCCTGTAAAATTTACAATATTATAAGTTTTTATTTTTTTGAACTGAACCTAGAAAGTAAATGTAGTATGCTAAAACTTTTCACACAACTATAGTTTATTTTATAGAATTCTGTATCTTCTTTCTTTGTTAGAACTCTTTTGAGCATATAAAATCAAAGTCTAAACATGTAATATCATCAACGGCCTTTACTAGTACACTGCTGGACATTGGTCTCACCTTAGAAAGGAGGTCTTGGCCTACTATATGACGCTGGCCAGACTTGTTGGTATAGGGTTTGTGTCAAGTTTCCTTCTTTTTGTGGTGCTTTTACCCTACTTAGTTTGCTCCCTTAGTCGGTTCTTACGACACCCAAGGAATGATTAGGGGTGGTGACACTCTGTATTCTTAATCCGACACCACACGGAGATAAAGATTTAGAGGTGATGGTCAATGTTTAAAAATCTAATTCCATGAAAATCTTATGATAAATGCTGATGATTGCTGAAAAAACAGATTGTTTTTATCATAAACAGGTTATCGAAAAGATAATGAACATCAATGGTAAATATTTTGCAGCAAGACACGTAAATATTTATTCAAGTAGGTTTAATGTCATACCTGTTGGAATAAAAATTTTGACAACCCTTTGTTTTTTTGCTCTCGTACACTCATCTCTATCGATATTTTCAGCCGTAATATATTTTTTATATCCTGCTATAGCATATATGTTTTCAGCTTCAATTAGACATGCGGCTGAAGTAAGTATTTGTGTTGGAGTAACTATCGCACCACCACATACCCATGAGTTCTGAAAGTTTCTTGTAAACGGAGATTGGACGAAGTATACCTGAAACCAAAAAGCCAAATTCATTGATATTAGATTTTTCTGCTAGGATATTTCATTAAGACGTAGTTCTCTAAACACATTTACACTACAATCATACGTTCTTTGAAAATTACTATTTTCTTAAATCTGTAATCTGATGTATATTTCATTTAAATATGTGTCGTAGAACCCACGCTATTTACTAATATTTTTTTACTTTCACTATTTTGCATATATGTATGTGCAACGCTGCCTTGACCAAGAGTCACCTGACCACTACCGTGACCCATGGTCGGCTGCAGCTCAGGAGTTACAAGTGCATTGCCGTTCTTGAAGGTACTCTTTTATCTTACAAGTTTGGAGGCTGGATTTTGCAAAGTCTCAAGCACCAATTTATTCAGAGGTTGGTGATGCGAGACGAATGGTTTCTTGAAAGCCACACAGTGATGTAGGAAGGTGCGGCCGGAGTTAGTCCGAATAATTCATCGGAGCATTCCTCACGACACGAGAAATGCAGAAGAAAGCTAAATATCTATGCAATATACGACCTTCAAGAAAAGAGCGTACTCCTTCCTAAAAGGCCGGCAACGAGTTTGTGACTCCTGAGTTGCAGACGTTCATGGGCGGCGATAGTCACTTTCCATCAGGTGACCCGTCTGCTCGTCTGCCCCTCTTACATAAAAAAAAGGTCTATGTCCAGCAGTGGACGTCTTTCGGCGGCAATGATGATGACGATGATGATAAAGTAAAACTTACCATATATTTCTTTCCTACAATACTGTCAATTCCGCTCACCAATCTTCTTTGGCAGTAACATACTAAACAAACATAATTTGCGTTATTTATTTATGATAGTCAATTAATTATCATCAATAGAATTATGATTGAAAAATTTATCTTTAACAGCGACTTGTGTCTGTAGGGTTTTAACCGACTTCAAAAAGGATCAATATATTTTTTTTGTACGTTAGATGACGGATTTACAAAATGCTTTTTTTATTCGAAAGAAGTTAATGCTGAAATGGTCACACTTAAATTTCATATAGATCTGATGATGAACGCCGGAGACAGATAATGGAACGCTTAAAAAAATGACAGCAAATCAACTGCGATTGCTGCTAGGTTTTTAGTACACTTTGTTAATATTGTTTGTAGTCGGTTACATTGAAAAAGGTGTGAAAAAATATGAATTAATTGAATTTTCTGCCATCATAAGTCTTATAGTTTTCTATTTTATTGGTAAACATTTTACATTTAGAATAGTATATTAAAATAATAATTTATTGTATATAAAATTTGTTTCTCTACTTAGATCCTTAATATTATGTGCATAAGTTCAGATGAATGGCAATACTTAGTAAGTAAGTAACATTGGTAGTTGAGGCATCACAAGCAATTTATTTTACACAATAAGTCCATGTGGCCTACGACTAAAAATAATTCGTTTGAATAATTGAATATCAGCCTGATTGTGTTTTATTTATTACTTACATGTCTAACACATTAACTGATACTACACTTACAACCTTATCAAAATTATCCTAAAAATTACTAACATTGTAGAAATCCAGCTATACAAACAAATTTATAATAGTAGAACAACATTTTTTTTAGAATTTCTTAACATTCTAGTCTTGGTATTTCAATTATATTCTTAAAAAGCAATTTCCTGGATTCGCTCGACCATAGAATGGAAATGTATCATTAATAAAACTTACGACATTTTGTTCACTGATTGATTGTACAGTACTGTATACCAAATCGACTATAATCGTATAATTCTTGCGTCATATGGATCAAATTGTGAGGATTCTCAATAAGGTGGATCTTCTTTTAATAACTACTCTTGTATGTTTCGGATCTCGTAAGTACATATTTCGTTGGATGGTATGATTGGAGGGTATGATTGGATGGAGAAAAAAAAAAGATATGGAAAACCTTGAAAATTTTGTAATAGTTTTCACAGGTGTTTTTTTTACATCCGACGATAGGATATCCGTTGTGGAAAAATAACGATGTTTTATGAAAAGGAAGGCAATTATACAGTACTAGCTGTAGTACCCTGCCACGCTTCGCTGTTTCACATCGTTGCAATATAAATGTATATAGGCCATTAGAATAAAAAATTCGATCGGCGAAAAAAATGATGTATCTTGCTCATTTTTCTATCCGATTTTGATATTTTTTTATTAGAGGTAGCATGACGAACCACGTAACAACTAACGTTTGCACGTCATTACCACCTTTTTATATAAATTTGTAATAATCATTTGAAAAAAAAAAAGATTTGGCTTGTATTTTGGTGACCGATTTTAATATTTCCGGTGACAGATTAATTGTTAATATATCGCCTATAAAGTAAAAAACTTTCATTGCGAATATTGCTAATCGGCTTTAAGCAATTTAAAAATACTGCTTTTTTACGATTTTTTGCACAAAAACGTTATTGAAAATATGTTCTGACACATTCAAATTGGAGGTATTTCATAGGGATGTCCCTTATCTATGTATCACACAATCGAAAATATATGTCGCTCCCTGTTAGGAATTTCGTCCCAAAACGAACCACGGGGGAGACCGCCCACACAGCTGAATAACTCTGAATTGAAGGAAATGGTGGAAGTCGATCCGAGTCAAACTACCCAGGAATTAGCGGCACGGATTAACGTTACCTTATCCATAATATTGACTCATTTGCATCGAATCAGTGAGTTTAAAAAAAAGATAATAAAAGGTTGCCCTAATGATTTGTCTGATCTGCAGAAAACGATGCGTATTGAAACTTGTGTTGCCTTGTTGAATCGGTGCAGAAATGAAGAAAATTGCATCGAATTGTGACATGTGATGAAAAGTGGATTGTTTACGATAACCGTAAGCGAAAAATGCAATGGCTGACCCCAGCTCACACGCCGCAAGAGTACCCTAAGGCAAAGCTTACCAATAAAAGTTTATCTTAACTGTTTGGTGGTCTCTTCATGGTGTTATTCACTATAGCTTTCTCAGGTCTGATCAAGCAATAACAGCAGATGTTTACTGTGCCGAACTTCAAATAATGATGGCAAAACTGGCAGTAAAACAGCTCATGAATCGATATTCACCATTATTGATTCATAATAACGCAAGACCTCACATTGCAAGAGAAACCTTTGTAACTCTACCGGAGCTGCAGTTAGAAACCTTACGTCATCCTCCGTACTCGCGACACCCTTGGCGAGGCCGCCAGATTTCGGACTATCATTTTTTCGTGATTTGGACAGTTTTCCCGGAGGCAGTACAAAATGCTTTTTCACAGTTTGTCGAATCTAGATACCCAGAGTTCTATCGTAAAGGAATAAATAAACTTCTGTTTAGATGACAGTAATGTATAGTTAATGGGTAAATATTTTGATTAAATAAACATCTTAGAAAAAAACAAGTTTCAATTTTTCAAATTGCCAATTTCATTTTTTAACTATATATATTTCATTCACTCAAACTAGGCAGAGCCTACTACTAGGCTCTGCCTAGTTTGAGATTAGAGAGATATAACTGACAAACAAATATTTTCTTTGGGTTGGAAATTGATTTCAGCAAATAATGATCCAATTCGAAGGACTTCTGCTTGAACCAGAACTCGAAGATATTTAGAAGGAGAGTAGACAGTAGAATTCCACAAGGCACCGATCTTAGACCACTTTGGTTTTTTATATTGTGAAAATACAGAGTAAAAACATAAAAAAAAAGATATTTATTTATTATTTATTCACAGAATTTTTAACGGTTTCCTTTATGTATAGTATTTAAGTGTGCCTTTTTAACTTGAGAGGGCACGCCACGCACGAGGGACGCCGTGTTATCACTCTGGTCGAGTGATTGGAGTGATACCACAGCCTCACCGAAAACCATATTTAATCTTTTTTTTTGCTTTTCAAGAAGTGAATGAATTGTTGCCTGAGTTATCTAATTCTGTAGGTTTGCAGGTTTCCATAAGCCGCGGTAGTGAATTACTAACATTTAATCCATCTGCTTATATACAAATTAAAACAAAAAAATGCAATCCAGAGCAGATTTGGTTTTTATCTACCTAAAAAAATATTATCCATTCTTTTATTGTAATATTATCTATCCATTCATTCTGTTACATTGTGAAAATTTTAATTTTTGTGTATTGTATCAATAATCGTATACGTGAAAGTTAGTGTTATTCTATGCAATAATCGATACAACTATTAGTGCAATTCACCATTGCTTAGATCGCCAATGACGTTTTCGAAAGACATTGATTTGATACGGTGCGGCGGCGGTGCGTTCTAAGGCTTTATTTTGTGTTATATTGAGTACCGCAACACTAACTAGACACAGGTCGCGAAGCATCCCACAGTTCAATGTAGCAGAAAATATAGTCTGTAATGTATTTATAGTAGATGTCATGTGCTGTCACATAAAATTGCAAAAGCATACTTGTTTGACTTTAAAAAGAGTGAGTATATATATATATATATATGTTGCCTAATTAAAGTAGTGGCCGCACTGTTACTGGCAGGTACTAGGAGGAGTCCGGATGTCTTAATAACAGCTGTTCTGATCCTTCCTATTTTAAGAGCAGAGTGGTAAACTGTGTGTTTTAATTGAATCCATTCCGAAACACCGCCACACCCCCCCCGCAAACATCAGTGAGCTGACGGTCTGTGGGAGTTTTCAAACGTAAAAGAGGATCCTGAAAAAAATCTTTTGAAAGGAGCTACTAAATAGCACTACATAAAAATGACCGAGATAAATCAACCAATTTATGTGAACGGTTTCGAGTTGGGGTCAGGAACCATCCAGAGTCGCTGTACTTAAACATAAACTGTGTTGGCCATAACTGCAAATATGTTGCAATAACCTACGTCAATGCAGTGTTTCAAAGGGAAATAAAAATGAAGGAAATAAAGGATGCAGGAAAGCATGGCCGTCCAAAGGTAGTGGAGGGTAATAGAATAAACTCCAGTCTTATTTATCCAATATTTGATGGTATTCAAATCAAATTTCATCATCAAATTTTGTAGTGTTTAGTCTCGATAAATAAGATATTCCTCCAAGGAATCATTAGAGCATAGCGATTTATAAGGAAACGATGCTATCGATGAGCTCCCCTAATCAGATGGTTGACGTTCAACGAATTTCGCTCTTAGGGAAGGTAACAGACTTGTGAAGCGCACAACAGTCGTTAAACTAAAATACCTACTCCAAACAAAGGATCAGTCCTCACTACAACCTGTAAACTATTCCTGAATGGGCAGCTGTTCCCCAGCAATGCAATAGATAATTCTTTCGACGTCTCGACGTCGACAAAATGTCTCGACATAATACAGCGGGCTTTGTTATCCTGGAGTGCTAGAGGATTGGATACACAGTCACGCTTCGAAGGAGCGAGGTTGGTTCACCTCGCCAGCATCTGAACGCATACTGGCTCATCTATGATTTTTAGGCGCAAAACAGAGCTCTCTGCCAATACCTATAACAGTTCGAGATGGGAGTTAGGAGATGTATAAATATTACGTGAAAACGCTGCTAGTTAATCAAAATATATTAAATTCACTGAAACATACAGTAATGTCATATTCCGTAAAATTGCAATGAAGCAATTTTCAAAGAAATCGTAATTGTAACTTTAAGCAGAAGAAGGCAGAAGGCAACTAGAAAATGATTTTAGTGCTTTGGTGGTACTTGGTGCCATCAATACTTGTAAGTGGTAAGGGTAGTTCCAAAAATATTAGTGCATATTGAGTCTTGATGAGAATATAACGTGTCTGTTTTCCTTTTCGGTTCTGATTAGGAGATTATGCAATACACAAGTATAGTATTCTGTCGCAGTGAGTGAATAAGTTTACCAAAAAGGCAATTGGCCCTCCCACCCTATTCCCCACTAGAGGGGGGGGGGGAGGAGGGAGAGAAGGAGACTTAAATGCAACGCATTTGAGCTGCAGGTGTCCATGTACATATGTCGGTAGTTATTTACCACCTATAAAGAAACAATATCATATACTATATCGATAACTTTCTTTATGAGAATAAAGTTTCTTAAACCCGAAAACTGACATAACACCAAAGGCCATGAATGATCACAAAGGAAGGCAACCCGTACCCCTGGTCGCACTATTGTTTGACCAGAACACACATTTACAGGATGCAATGCTATAGAATTTTGTGTTCTGACACAAAAATAAATGTGTGTAGATTTTGTTTGTATCCATTTTTTTTTATTTCCTTAAATAATTTGTTTTAGTTTGTAATGGACATCGCAAACTTCTTGGTGGTCAAAATGTTACAACGAACCATCCGTTCATGGTAAGTTATTATGTAGGCTATTATGATTTTGATATGTGTCTAGAATGAACGGTAGTGCTCTACATAGCATCAATATAGGGTATGACAAGTTTTATCTAAAATAATATAATAGCTACTATGAAAGATTTATTTCTTACGGTGACCATTTAAAAATACCTAATTAGCTATAAGTTTTGCAATTAATAATAGAAATGGGACTGACTAAAATGTTTATCCTTGACTGCACTGATGGCGTAGTGGTTTAAGAGGTCGCTATGTAGCTTCCTACTACGCCGAGTGTTGTGGGTTCAAACCCCACATGGGTCGACACTTTGTGTGATCCACAAATTGATGTTCTGAGTCTGGGTGTGAAGTCCCCAGCGACACAGGATATATTCCTAACGCAGTAATTGTCTTTAAAAAAAAACGTGTTATGTAAATAACTTCTGAGGGTTTGTAAAATTGCAGGTTTACTTACGTAAAGCGGAAGTAGATCCTAGAGGGTACGTTGCTTGGTTATGTGGTGGTGCCCTGGTTGGACCGAAAGTTGTTTTGACATCAGCTGCTTGCGTTGAAGATGTACAACATCTATATGTAGTAGCAGGTTACGATAAATACGTAGCTGAAAAGACAAAAGAAGATAAATGTATTCAAAATACCATTAGGAAAGTTGTAAACATTTGTGTACCCAAAGGTAAGAAGTTACCTGTTCTCAATATAATACTAACTGAATTTATTTAAAATATTTTGTTACTTAGCAATCAAGCTATATGTATTTACAATAATTGATTTATTTACAAAAATACTATGTGAATATTAATTCTTGTCTAACCCTAATGACCAGATCAATAAAATGTTATTATAATGTTTGCTAGGTACTTAAAATTTATTTGAAGTCTATTTATCAGTAATTGCATGTCCCAATTATGCAAATAAATGATAATTGAACGGAGCCAAGTCTGTAGAATAAACCGCAAATTCTTGTATTGCCCAATTCAACCTCTCGATTGTACCCCATAGAATAGAATTTCTTTACTTTCACGCGAATGGAGACGACTTACTACATCACATTTAAATAAATCCGATAATTCTTGTTGAGTTTTTTGAGTATAATCTTCATCCAAAAAAGGCATGCAATTCGTTGTCCTCAAAAGTTTTTCGATGGGTATCTTGCTCTAGAGTATATTTGTTTCTCACGTCAGTCACCATTTTTTAATTTTCTGAACTCCTCAAAGCATTTATAAAGAACATGTTCACCGTAAGCTTCGACAAGCATTCAATTTTATTCTGCAGCAGTTTTCTTTATCATCATAGGCAAAAAACTCAACAAGTTTAAGGTTTTTAAAAAATCTCGATGGATGAAACTTGGGTTGTTTTGCTTGATTATGATGCTATTGTGGTCAATCTACACCAATGTATGCACATACCATATGAACAATTCTGATGAAATGAGAACGATTTACGAGAGTTTAAAATAAAAGTTTTCAATTGTTTGATGACATGGAATAGTGTTTACTTTAATTTAAAAACTCTAGGTTCGCTAATTGCCGTTATGGAGGATTGGCTCGAGAGGCGTCACGGGACCCTCTCATACCGATTGACGCAGGTGATCACTGGGAAGGGATGTTTCGGGGATCACCTGTGTCTGATCCGCAAGGAGCCAACGCCTGAGTGCCACCACTGCGATGGCCAGACCGTGGACACGGCTCTCCACACGCTGGCAGAGTGCCCGGCGTGGGTTGAGCAGAGGCGAGACCTCGTGGCGGCCATCGGAGTGGGAGTTCTCTCGCTCGATAGCCTGATTGCGGCTATCGTGCGGAGCGAGAGTGCGTGGAACTCTGCCGTCCCCTTCTGCGAGCAAGTTATGCTCGCGAAGGAGACGGCGGAGCGGGACCGGGAGAAGTTTAGGACTCTCCCGGCCCGCCAGGCCCGGGAACGGGCCAGGTACCGCAGGCGACTCAGGCGCCGGAGGTCGCAGAACGACCTCCGTCCTCCATAAGCGCAGGCCTGGGGGTAACAGGTGAGGCCATCTGTCATCCTAGCAGAAGCAGGCCGGGGTGGCGGCGAGCGCGTTGCGAAGCGTGCTCGCTTCCAGGGAGCACAGGGAACATGGGGTTCCCACACGGGGGGAGGGTCGTCTACTCGTCTGTAGATGACCCGAGGTATGTCGGGGCACCAGGGACTTCCTTTCTAGGGTATACCTGGTTCCCCGGCTGTTAGTACCGGAGACGGCGTGCGGTTGTAGTCGGTTCGAGTCCGACATGCCACCGACAGGTGGTATCCGAGGGGATTACCGCACGAAAAAAAAAAAAAAAAAAAGGTGCGCTAATTGTGTAATTGCCAACTTTATAGATTGTATAATATCTTACCTTGTCATGAAAAGTAAATTGCTTTAAAATATTTCTGTTTTAGCATACGATTTGATATATCAGGAATTGGATAAGTGGGCCAAATATGATATAGCTGTAATAAAAGTAGACGCAAGTATCATTGGTGACCCAAATTACAAAAAGTATTGTAGTTATGAACCTCAACAGATTGCTATAAACTATGATGATAAACATCTACAAGAAACCAATGCAGAAGCAATGGTTTTCGGATGGGGCCATTCAAAAATTTGGCGGCAAGTAAGACATTCTATTAGTCGATGTCGGCTGAACTATCATTTTAATTTATAGGAGGTTGAATTCTTGAAAGTTCAAATGGTTCCACTAGCCTGTCTGGGTATATATAAGCGTGTAAGTTTTCACAAATAAGAACCATATCCATTCCATTTAGCGGTATTATTCGTTAAAGTTCATGTTAAACCAAGTATCTTTTATTTTTACACTGAACCAGGCGGACCTAATGCCACATGGCATTATCTACCAGTCAACCTTAAGATGGTTGGTGGCAGGTGCACATATATTATATAAAAAGAAGAAACTATGAAAATATAACATTAATTTGATACTACTATTTAAAATACATAGACGAATACATAAATAACTATTAATAGATTATACATACGGAATGAAATAAATACAATAATGTCTGAGGTGACGAATTATAGTACGAGTATACATACATGCTCTACAATGTTAACGGTTTACCTAACTTGAGATTTCATTAGATTCGTCTTAGTAGGAGGAATGGCATAGACTTCCTATTTTGTTTCTAGTTAGTATTTCCTTTTCCCCTTCTTATTAATCTTGTTTGTTTTTATTATCACTCCGACTCTTTTTTTTAGCAAAATGATCATCGAAACTTTAACAAAAAGACGTTACAGTATATTTCAACATTGATCTATGATAAAGATTTGTGTATGAAAGCGTATAAAACGTTTGGCATCAATCCTATCATCTCGAAATACATGATTTGTACATTAAGACCTGGCTTGTTTGATGATCAAGGTGAAAATCTTAATAAGGGCGATGTTAAGCTTAAAAATGGTTGTAGTGACGACGAATCAAAGGAAATTAGTGCAGATTTTGCAAATGAAGGTGAAGAGGAAATAGAATCACCGGAGAATGTAAGTGTGTATTAATACATTGATGAGAATTGATAATTCTCAAATTTTCAAAAATGATTACAGTTGAGTTTCGATTAGATTAGAGAATTTCTATAGGTATCCCAAAAAATCAACGTCAAGCCGGTAACAATTTTCAGCTCTTGGATAAAAGTAACGTCATTTCAAAAAAGTGTCTCTCCGTGTGGTGACGGATTAAGAAAACGGAGGGTCAGCATTCCTATTTATCCGGTGAGTATCGTGTCGTAAGAACCGACTAAGGGAGCTAACTACGCGAGACAACATCACTGCAAAGAGAAGGAAAACTTGAAACAAACCCTTTTTTTTTTTTTTTTTTTTTTTTACGTGTGGAAATCCCCTCGGACCGTCACCCCTCCGGGGTTTGCGGCGGGGTGGTGTGTCGGACTCGGACCGACTAAAACCACACGGTGTGCCACTCTGCGCCTGTAACAGGAGGGATCCGGGAACAGCTGTTGTTAAGACATCCGGACCCCTCCTAGCGCCAGCCCGCTCCTGGTGCGGGCTCCGTCTCAATGTGGATGTTCCTCTCTTTAGGCGACGTCCGGCACACGCGGACGCCGCCCCCTCGCGGCTGGCCAACTAATGCGGGTGGAGGGGAAACCCACCCCGTCCACCCGCGGCCACACTCAGGGCGGTATGAGGCTGTGATAGCCGGGCCTCCGCCGCCCGGTTCGCCGGCGGCGGATCGGGTCCGAGTGGAGGTCGTCCTCCCGGGCCCTCTCTGCCGCCTCCTTCCGCGAGATTACTACCTCGCAGAAGGTTGCGACCGCGGTAAAACAACTGTCGCTACCGGCCATGGAGCGTACTACGGCCGGTAGCGAGAGATCCACTCCGATGACTGCAGTGAGGGCCCGGCGCTGCGCCGCCCATGCGGGGCAGACCGCCAGCGTGTGCTGGGCCGAGTCCTCACTGCAGTCGCAGTGGTGGCAGGCGGGACTCAGTTCCCTCCTAGCGACCGTGTGCAGGTACTTTCCGAAGCAACCATGCCCGGAAAGCACCTGCGTCAGCCGGAAGGAAAGGGTCCCGTGCTGCCGCCCTGCCCACTCGGCGATGACCGGCTGGAGAGCCTCCACGGCGGCAAAGCCAGCGCGTGGAGTCTCCAGCCGGAACGACCAACGAGCCATCGTGGCTCGGCGAGCGGCTTCGCGCCACTCGCGCACATCCTCGGGCGGAGGGCGAAATCCGCTCTCCGCCCGGAAGTCAGCCACTCGCCGATAGACTTCGGCGAGCACTTCCGCCTCCAAATCCCACGGGGGAGTTCCGGCCAATGCGCATGCCACCTCCGTCGAAACGGTGCGGTAACCGCGTATGGCTCTGACCGCCATTACCCTCTGAGGGCGCCAGAGGCGTACCCTATTCTGGGCGGTCAGAGCCGCCGCCCACACCGGTGCACCGTACAGTGCCATTGACCGGACAACCCCCGTGTACAGCCGTCTTGTCGCGACGCTGGGTCCACCCATATTGGGCAAGAGTCGCCCTAGGGCAGACGCAGCGCCGACCAGCTTTGGAGCAAGCTGTCGGAAGTGCTCGTCGAAGAGCCACCTCCCGTCGAGGATCAGGCCCAGATATTTCATCTGGGCCCGAACCGGTACGAGGACCGAGTTGACCACGATTGAGGCGCCAGGGGGTGGACCACGACGGGGCCCATGGAATAACAGGGCCTCCGTCTTATCTAGGGCCACCCGTAAGCCCAGCGCCTCAATGCGCCCGACCACCAGGGAGACTCCCCCTGTGGCCAGGCGCGCCGCCTCTTGGAAGTTTGCCCCCCGGGCTGTCACGAGGGTATCGTCTGCGTAACAGATTACACCCAGCCCGGGGGGGAAATCGGCGCGAAGGGCCCAGTCGTACCCTATGTTCCACAAGAGGGACCCCTCTTGTGGAACATAGGGTACAGGACAAGAACAGACCCCTGTGGAACACCGCACGACATGGGCCGACACCTCAGATTACCTTCTCGGTCCTCGTACACGACGGTACGCTCCTCTAAATAGTCTGCCACCAGCCGCCTCAGGTACTTTGGCACCCCATGATAGTGGAGTGCTTCCCTGATGCAGCTGAATGGCAGACTATTGAATGCGTTGGCGATGTCTAATGACACCGCCAACAGCACGCCGCCACAGCTCACGGCCTCTTCGGTCACGGCCCTCAGGCGCAACACGGCGTCGACTGTCGAACGCCCCGCCCGAAAACCAAATTGGGCGTCCGACAGATCGGGGCCCACCTCGCAGAGGTGCCGGACGATGCGGGCAGAAAGAACCCTCTCAAACAATTTGCCCGCCTCGTCCAGCAGCACGATGGGCCTATAGGCCGCGACCGAATCGGCAGGCCGTCCCGGCTTCCTCAATAGGACCAGCTTCCCGCTCTTCCAGCACTCAGGGAAGCGTCCCGACGCCAAGCTAGCGTTGAACACCTCCCCGAGGCGGTCTGCCATGTGGTTGAGGGCCAGGGCCAGCACTCGGGCCGGTACCCCGTCTGGCCCAGGGGCGGTGTTCTTGGAACGGATCCGTAGAACAGCCGCCCCTACCTCCGAATCCCGGACGGGCGGAACAATGTCCTCCCCGTGCTCCCCGTCGTCTCCGGCCAGGGAGGCCATCGACGGGGGAGTGTGTTCCGCTCGTTGTGGGAAAAGGCCCTCAACCACTTCTCGCAGGAAGCTGGGCTGGAGAGTCTCCGTAAGGGGGGGGCCCGACGCGCGGAGCTTTTGTCGCACCGCGCGGTAAGGGCGACCCCAGGGGTCACGATTAAGACCCTCCAGCATCTCCTGTCTCTTTTCCTCTTTGGCGCGGCTAATGGCCAGCTTCAGAGTTTTCCGAGCCCGTCGGTACTCCTCATGAAGCCGGTCCTCCTCACCGTCTCCACGGTGACGCCGCCGACTGCGTGTGTAGGACCTCCGGGCACGTGTACAGGCCGCACGGAGGTCCGCCAGCTCCTGGGACCACCAGTAGACCTCCTTCCTTGGAGGCCGACGACCTCGAACGCGGGGCATGGCCGCATCGCATACATGCGTAATCGCATCGCGAAAGCGGCCAGCCCCCACGTCGACCTCCTCGGTCGGAGCCTGAGGAGACAGCCACGAGTGAATTATGGCTGCCTCCTCTAGTAGGTCCCGGTTCAGCCTGGCAACAGCCCACCGCGGAAAGCGGGATAAACGCCGCGCCACGTGACCCCTACTGGAGTCCTGGGTCCGGGAGAGCTCAAATCGGATATACAGGTGATCCGAGAGCGTCTCAACCTCTTCCAGGACACGCCAGTTCCTTACTCGTGCGGCGAGGGCAGGGGTAGCGAACGAGAGGTCCACTATCGACCCCCCCTGCTGTCGCACGCACGTGTTAGTGGAGCCTCTGTTTAGAAGACAGAGGCCCACCGAGGCCGCCCACTCCTCTACGGCCTCGCCCCTGGCGTCCGTCCTGGGGGAACCCCACGCAATGGACTTTGCGTTGAAGTCCCCCAGCACAAGGACGTGCCCAGACGCTAGTCGCCGTATCGAGGTCTCCAAGCTGGTTAGGAAAACCTCGAAGTCGTTCAAACTCCGGTTGGGGGAGAAATAGACACCATATATGGTGATCCCCCCCACTCGACGGCAACATATCCAGTGCCCTTGTCTCTTAGCGACAAGGGCGGGGAATGAGCCGTCGTGGAACCGACGACTGCCACGGAGCCGTCCCAGTCACCCATCCAGTTTGGACGGGGAGGGACAGAATAAGGCTCCGCGACTACGGCAACACCTATCGACCACTGTGCCATAGTTTGCAGGAAGAGATCCTGCGCCGCGGCACAGTGGTTCAGGTTCGTCTGGACCAGGAGGTTGGAGACTTGATCCATTACTGGATCGTCTCTACAACCTCCTCCATGGGCGACGACGACGACGCACGTACTATATCAGAGGCAGCCTGGGTCGACTGGCTAGCCCCTGACGTCTGCCGAGAACTGCGGGGAGGCTTGCAGCCTCTCTGCCCCATCTGGTGATTGGCGGGCTTATTGCCCGCCGCACACGCTGGGCAGTGAGGGGCGGCAGAGCATTCTGCCGCCTTATGCCCCGGTTGACCGCAGCGGAAACACAGTCCGCCGCAGTCAAAACAACTGTCGCACTTGAGGCGCGTGTGTCCCGCGGCCAGGCATTTAAAACACCTCATCGGTCTCGCCGCCAGGACTGTGATTCTGGCGCTCACGAAACCGATGAGCAGCCTGCCGGCGTCGGCCAATACTTTGGCCGACGCTACGGGACAGCTGACCCACACGGCGCCAAGCCCTCCTGGACCGGGGCGGATGGTGCCGACCCTGACGTTGTCCGCGCTGCACCCCGTCTTCTCCCGGATTACAGCGCGGACATCTTCGGCCGTCACTGAGTCGTCCAGGCCCGAGATGCGCAGTTCCGCGCACTTGGTAGGCCTGGCGACCCTAACACCATCTGTGGCTGCAAATATTCCCCGCAGCTTCTCAGCGAAGGAGTCCGCCGTCTTTGCGCCTTCAGCCCCAGGGAACTCGAGAACTCGAGCTCCCGTCTGGGCGAGGCGCATCCTGACCCCCACCGTCCCAAACTCGTTGGCGAGGCTGTCCCGGGCCTTTTTGAAGACGGCCGCATAGGACAGCCCGCCGTCAGCCGCCTCCGGGGACACGGTCACAACTACAGCCGCGGTTTTGGGCGGCTGCAGCTTCCGCGGCCTCTTTGCAGAGGCCGTTGCCACCGGTGGCGAAGGCTGGGCTTGGGCTGCTTTTTGGGCAGCCTTTCTGGCCCGCCTTCGGGACTTCTTGGAGCCCCTCGCCTCCTGCCAGCCCTCGTTGGAGGAGGCAGGTGCGGAGGGGCCCGGCAGGGGTGTCGGAGTGGGGAGCGGAGGGAATGCCACTCCGCTCCTCGGCGCCGTTTTAGGCCCCGTCTTGGCCGGCGCCTGGGGATGTGCCTTGGCCGGCGCCTTAGCCGGTGCCTTGGCCGGCGCCTGGGCCGGTGCCTTGGCCCCCCTCCTCGTCGGCTTTTGTGGAGCCGA